GTCATTCCTTACTTTATTTCTTGATAGATACAATTGCCACTTCTTCTCAGGAGGCAGTTTCCACATAATCTCTCTATTTAGACCTAATTCATCCTGAGAGAGAGAGAGGGGGGAAGGGAAAGGAGAAAGAGGGTGATTATAAATGGCAGATTGTAATAATTTCTGCTTTATCTTACCACCATCTTTGCAAAGAGGTGATTGAGCTCAGCTTCATTAGGGACTGGTTGAGCTGGTATCAGTTCCTGTAGCTCAGAGGTAAGGAGATGCTGTTCTTTGTGTCTTCCTCCTTTACCTGGTGTAGCCCCAGGAGGCTTCTTGAAACGAGTCTTCTTATGGCGTCTACCCCCGGGACCAGACCTACTGGCAGTAGTGGCCATTGCTGCTGCTCTGTTCCTCGAGGAGATTGACATCATACTGGGACTGACTGGTAGACCACTCATGGACTTATCATGATGGACGGAATAGGTTCTCTTGCGAGAGAAAGAAGGCATCTCTAGCCTCTAGAGATAAGGTCTGAAGGAACACTGAAACAGTCTGTATCCAGGTTTATACCTGCGCCGGAAGACGTGGGGTGGAGCAGGCTCAAGAGTCACGAGACTGGGAAACTTGGAAGAAAAGATAAAGGCCCTTGCCTTTTCTCTGCTAAGTCTGCAGTCCCTGTCACCTCCCTTTCATTTCAATTATGAGGATTTCCATTAAACCGTTAGTTGGCGAGTCACTATCTCTTGAAGTTGAGGCTAGTGATACCGTTGAAAGTGTGAAAGAGAAAATACAGGACAAAGAAGGAATCCCACCTGATCAACAGAGACTGATATTTGTTGGTAAACAATTGGAAAATGGTCGTACACTCTCAGATTATAACATTCAAAATGAAAGTACTTTACATTTAGTACTTCGTCTTAGAGGTGGCATGCAAATATTTGTAAAAACTCTGACTGGTAAAACAATTACTCTTGAAGTTGAACCTTCTGATACTATGGAGAATATTAAAGCAAAGATACAGGATAAAGAAGGAATCCCACCTGATCAACAGAGACTCATATTTGCTGGTAGACAATTGGAAGATGGTCGTACACTCTCAGATTATAACATTCAAAAAGAAAGTACGTTGCATTTAGTACTTCGTCGTCGAGGTGGCATGCAAATATTTGTAAAAACTCTGACTGGTAAAACAATTACTCTTGAAGTTGAACCTTCTGATACTATTGAGAATGTTAAAGCAAAGATACAGGATAAAGAAGGAATCCCACCTGATCAACAGAGACTCATATTTGCTGGTAAAATATTGGAAGATGGTCGTACACTCTCAGATTATAACATTCAAAAGGAAAGTACATTACATTTAGTACTTTGTTTTCGACATGACATGCTGATATTTGTAAAAATTTGGATTGGTAATGAGACTGGTAAAATAATTTTTCTGCAAGTTGAACCTTCTAATACTATTGAGAATGTTAAAGCAAAGATACAGGATAAAGAAAGAATCCCACCTGATCAACAGAAACTTATATTTGCTGGTAAACAATTGGAAAATGGCCATTACACACTCTTAGATTATGGCATTCAAAGGGAAAGCACACTTGATCTATTGCTTCCAGATCATATGATTATTAATATCAAAGAAGTTGATGGTAATGTAGTTACTGATGTTATCATCAATTCTTATCGAAATATTGGCTATATTAAAGCAGACATTAAATCTAAAACCAATATTCCTTACGATGAACAAAGATTGACATTTGCTGGTAAACAGTTATCATTTGGAAGAACTTTCTCACACTACAAGATTAAAGACGGAGATACACTGCACCTTGTACCACGACGTCCTGGCCACACAATATTTGTTGAAACAAAAATCTTATTCTCTCCTACGATCACTCTTAAAGTTGATCTTACTGATACCATTGAGAACGTTATGTCACAGATACAGGATGAGATAAGGATTCCAATTGATCAACAGAAACTAAGCACTCGTTATCGTAAGCGATTAGACAATTCTCTGACACTGTCAGATTATAACATTGAAAATAAATCTATTCTGTATCTTAACCATTATCACAGAGGTGGTGAAAATATTTATATCAGATCTGTTACTGGTAATATAATAGTTATTGAAGTCCTACCTACTGACACTATCAGTGATTTAAAGAGGATGATTGAAGATAAGGAAAGAATCTCACCTACTGATCAAACCTTGTTCTATGCTGGTCAACTACTGGATGATGCCTCGACTTTAGCAAGTTATGATATTCCAATGGAAAGTGTGTTAGACCTTTTCATTCGATCCAATCCTAATCCTAATATGACTATATACGTTAAAACTTTGACTGGTAAGACATTTGAACTTAACGTTATCTACTGCAATACAATTGGTAATGTAAAAACAAAAATTGAAGAAACGGGAGGCATACCATGCAATCAACAGAAGATAATATATGATGGGAGGCAACTGGAAGATGATTACATTGAAGACACACTTCTACCTAATAAGATTAAAACACTCTTTGATCATGGTATTAAAGATAAAAGTACATTACATTTATTACTTCGTCTTCGAGGTGGCATGCAAATATTTGTAAAAACTCTGACTGGTAGAACAATTACTCTTGAAGTTGAACCTTCTGATACTATTGAGAATGTTAAAGCAAAGATACAGGATAAAGAAGGAATCCCACCTGATCAACAGAGACTCATATTTGCTGGTAAAGTATTGGTAGATGATCGTACACTCTCAGATTATAACATTAAAACAAAGGATACAATAGATTTACAACACAAAGGTACAACTAATTACCAATTTATTGTCATTAGTATTGTCATTATTTGATAGGTATGGAGACACAACCATTAAACCACTATAAGCTACTTACCTTTTATGAACACACTCCAGCCACCAAAATATGGAATGTACACTTTGTGGTTACTATGAATCATTTCTATGACATCAAAGTATGAAATATTTTTATAGTGATATACGTACTTACTGCTTTGTTGTGTGTTTGTAGAAGGCAATATCTGAGATGAGTGCAAGGTCATGTATTAAAGGTGATTCTGAGATTGTGTTTTTATTTGATGATCAAGGAGAAATTGTTTTTAACATTAAACCATCAATAATTAATGGATGGGCACTCCTGCTGTTTCAAACACCTTGTAAGGTAAATAAGCATAATAATAATAATTTATTTATAATTGCTATTAAGATTTCTAAAACAGATGTTTGTTCTAATGGTGGTCTTAGTAAAGTGTCTTTGCGTGTTGAAGCCCCACCTTATTCCAATAGTTTCACTCACAGCATTACTATTACTGGGACAAGAGATCCATCATTGACCTCATCGCTATTTGCATGGATGAGGCTGAAGACTAAGCAGTCAATTGTATTTAGTAAGTTTTATGTCTCTTAATCTCTCTTAGTTCAATACTTGCTATAGCTTGTTCAGATACTTCATTGCTGCTTCCTGTAGTAAGACAAGATGATCATGGTATGCCAATTTTGTGTAACAAGTTCTTTAATTTATTAAAATAGGAGCCAGGCCTCCTCCAGTTGTTGCTCCTAAAGTTAGTGAACTGATGGAAGAAGTTGCTGCTAAAGCTCCTAGGGAATGTATGAATATTGGGACAATGCTTGAGATTGAGCAGCATGTGCTTGATGGTATTAAAGTTCAACATAGTTCTAATTTCATGGAATGTTATCGTGCTGTTTTTAATCACTGGAAAGATACTACTCCACGTCCTTACACTTGGGCTACTATTGTGGAGGTTTTAGAATCAGGTGTAGTTCAAAGAAATGATTTAGCAGAAGAAATTAAAAGAAAATATTTAAGAAAGTTTTAACCATAAAGTTTACTGTATTGTCCATTAGTCTGTGTGCTTTAGTCTAGTTTCATAATTTAGTTTTACAGATTTTTTGACAAAGTTTTGTATTGTTAAATAGTATTTACAATTAATTTTAAACTAATGTACATGTATCTATGAATAATATGTATTGTGTTTCAGTTATTATTACTGTTGTCATTATTATTATTATTGTCATTATTGTGTTTTTCAAGTTAATATTATTTGTCATCTCTTGATTCTTGTCTTGATGAGTGTCTCCTCCTAACAGCTAAAGATGGAGGACGACTACCAGCATCACTTCTCTCTTCATCATCACTCTCTGATGATGAGTCACTCTCCTCTTCCTCCTCCTCTTCTCTTAATGTACTCCTCTCCTGTTGCAGCTGCTGTCTTATACCAACCCCTCCTCTTCCACTAGTTGGTATGTTAACCGAAGTATTTAAATCAACTGATCCAACTGATGAGATTGATATGTCTCTACGTAATGGAGGACGAGAAGGAGGGAGGTCCTGAGTCCTTGAAGGAAGAACTGGTCTACTAAACAATGAGTTATTATCAACAGTAGGGGTACCAGCAGTAGGATGAGGAGGGAGTGTCCCCCATTGGAACTGACCGCCAGTAGGTGATACTGGAGGTAGTCCAATGGAACCAATAGAAGGTCTACTGGTCAACGGTGATTGGATTGACAGTGGTGCTAATGGTTGCTGTGGAGATATTGAGGTGTGTCTACTACCAGTAGTGAAAGACCCTTGTTTCATTAGCTGTTGTCTTTGAATGTGTTGTGATTGTGATGCTCTTAAACCAGGGGATGGTGTTTGGACTGAAGCCAGTCTACCTACTGATATAGTACCAGTTGATGTTAGTTTGGGTAGAGGTGGGCGGGTTGATACTGGTGTCATTAACGTTGAATCAATTTGATTTCTCAGCTCAGTATAACTCTCTCTCTTTTCTCCTGCAATATTAACAGGAGGTAATGCCGACACAGCAGGTAGCGTCATTGTTGAGAACTTTCTTGATTCACTTAGAAACCCTTTCCAATTCCTTTGTGATGTCTGAGGTACTTCTCCATCCTTTTCCTCCGGTATACCTTGCAATACACTGGCCTGTCTTCTTATTAGTATGTCTGTTCTTTGTATCTTCTCTGCTGCTCTCTGACACTCTTTCTGATGTCCTCCTTCTTTATTCCAATCCTTAGTCTGACACTCTTGACTACAGTAGCCTCTTAGTCCACAACCTGAACACTCAAATTGAGCAGCTGATCCACACACACAGAACTGTCTCTTGGTCTGTTCACTAACTTCAGTCACTTCTCTAATGTACACGATGTTATTGTAGACTATGTTTACAAACTGCTGTTGCTCTGATGCTGGGTCAATATCACTGAGCTCTTTTGTGCACAAATAAAATGATTTCTTCCTCAAAGTGTTGGGGAATGTCTGTAGTAGTAGAGTCCTGAGCTCCCTTAGTCTCATGGTGTGTAGAACAGTGACACTTCCTAGCAGCTGCCTCTCATCTCCTTTCAATTCTATCACTCCTAATGTCATCCCTTTCTCCTTCTTCTTTATTTCTAGGTCACCAGTGAGTGCTTGTGGCTCTGTCTTCTTCTCCTTTTTCTCCTCCTCCAGTCCTTGTAGCGGCTGGTTCTCTTCATCTGCTGGGGCCACTAGAACTTTCCTACGACTCTTCTTCTTCTTATAAAGGAGGAATAAGATCCCCATTAGCAACAAGCTACCAATAATTATAAATAACAGTACAACCACTACACTGGATACAATGGCTGGTATGTCAGAGGCTGATAGTACAGTAACTGAAGGAGTTTGAGTCGGTACTGCACTGGAGGGTAAGGGACTGCTAATTATTGGACTGGGAGATGGTGAGAATATCATTGAAGATGATGTCATTATAATTGGAGGAGGTAACAGTCCAATGGCATACTCAGTGAAGTGAGTATAATCACATTTATAATACAGTGAAGAGTTAAGCATTACTGTATTAGGAGGAGATAGAGATTGAACAGTCCATAGATCATTATTAGTGTCTCCTGTATCTCTATACATACAGACTGGTACTGATGATGGATCATCAATAGGTCTTGCTAATATGTATAACTGTAGAGGAGTTGATGATGAAGGAAGAGGAGAGAGAGACAGGGGAGGAGACTGAGTAGCAGTGAATAGGTTCATGTTGATGATGTTAGAATAAAGTTTAACAGAATCAAGATCAACTCCTTTGATTGATGACATGATACGATCTCTACTCTCACTCGTTAAACTAATGAAATCAGAATCAGTGAAATAGTCACTGGTCATTGATACAAACTGAACACAGAAATCAGTACAGGCATGACTCTGTGTATCACTACACTGATCATCGTAACTTGATTTCAACGAATCACTCAAATCAAATATGATATTGTTAGAGATATAGCGAGCACCAAATGGAAGTGTTTTAGCTAAGATGTATCTACCAGCTGGTGATTGTGAAGTAACGTTAACTGGAGTCCCTCCTAAGTGAGATCCTTGACAAATGATTGACGATAGTTTCAGCAATAAGGATCTGAGCCTCCCAGCTAGTGAAGGTGTGGCAGAATAAGAGAATAATTCATTAATGATGATATTAATATCACCAGTACTGACACCACTGGTGATAGGAGGAAGGTTGGTACGATCACTGGTCAGTATCAGTGGAAGGCCATTGGAATCAACTTCTGATACAGAATCATTTGGGATGAAGTTTGAATCAACATCTCTGAGAGCAGAATTCAATATAGTGTCAAGAGTGTTCAGTAGAATCATCTTTTGAGATGAACTCAATTGAAATTTCGTGTTTATTAATTTCATTGTTGATATCATCATTGATCGATACTGTGGACTATCTAATACTGAATAATCACTGATCATACTTGAGTAGATTGATACTGATATATCAGGATCAAGTGTGTTAGTATCATCAATCGAGAGCAATATAGACACAAACCTTGACATCACTTGAGACCAATCTTTGGTATCAGCGAGACTTGATTGAAGATCAGTTAAAAGTGATCCATGATTCACACTAGATGATACTGATACTGATACATTAAACTGACTAGTTGTATATTCTCCACCTTTATTATCATATACCCTTACATACAGCCTGTTAACACCACTGGGTAGTATGAAACTCCTTTCATTAGTAGAGGTTAAACCAGTCAGCCAGTATATAGCTCCATCTTTCATTAGCCCATATTGATAGTATAAAGGCTGATCATTAATATTGTCATTGGTCCAATTGACTCTTACAGTAAAAGGAGTTAATAGTTCCACTCCAGTTGAAGGACTAACTGTTACCTGGTGTATGATGGGTGGGGATCCAATTAGTACAGTAGTACTGGTAGAAACTGTGTGTGTATTGTTGGCAGCTGTTAGTTTGAATGTATACTGGAGGCCTGGTTCAAGGGAATGTGATCGTAATATCAGGTTAACACGATTTGTTTTATCTTTTATGATACCAGCTTGAAATGAACTCAGCATTGACACTGAGTTGATATTGATCGTATCATAACTGATCGGTGATATTGAACTATTGTTAATATCGATATACCCATGATCAGTAACCCTAACACACTCCCAGTAAACACTAATCTCACTATTACTATACACTAATCCTTCTATAGTGAACTGCCTTGATACATCTACTGGCAGTGCTAGTGGTAGTATCTGTACAATAGCAAAAGGAAGTAGAGAGCTCTCAGCCTGATGTATACTGATAACAACACTGCTGGAGGAACAGTGTCTTCTATTGTCAAGCAGTGTAAAGTTGTAACTCTCTCCAGCTTGTAAGTGACTAGCCTCTACCATTGCTTGTAGTGTTGATGGTAATGATATCAGTACTGGTAATGAATGACTGGTGTTATAACAGGGTAGGCCTGAGTTTAGTACAGAACAAGACCAGATAAATGAAGAATTGTTAATCCTGTTTAGTACAGTTCCATTTAGCTTGATGACACTATTGCTGGATATGTTCCTATCACCACCATATATACTGGTAGTACATACCAGTGGTTTAACATACAGACTAATCCTGTCACTGGTTGATAGTGCATTCCCTGTAGTAGTACTGACTGTAAGCTGTAGTTGATAATGATGATCAGGGTTGAGGGTATGTGGTGGTATGTGTAGTATTGGTGAGGAGACAGTGATATTAGTTAATGATACTTCCTGCAGCGTGTGTTGTAATGTATCAGTAATGATATAGAGCCTCCATTGATAGTTGAATGAAGTAGAAGAGATGGAGCAAGGATCACTGACTAGCCTACCTTCATGTATACTAACTTTATTATAATCAATGGAGAGTTCAGGAGGACTAGTAATGGCTACTTCTAATGAGGTAGAAGATGATTTTGATAGAGTTTTAGTTACAATAGTAGATAGGCCAATGGAGTTAGTGACATTTAAATGAAGTACATAGTCAACTGAAGGTTGGAACAAGTTCACAGGTAGAGAGATTTGAGTAGTTGAGTATGGTAATGCATTGAGAATATTAGCCAACTGAAGGAAGCCAGCCACAGTTGAATCATTAGTAAATAAAGACCATTTGAAAGTCATTCCTTTATATCCATGATAATAATAACTACTAACAGTATATACTGCTGTAGATGCACAGTTTGATAATACATCAGGTCCTATTAAACCAATGGCTGGTCCTACAGCATTGATTACACTGGATACTGTATAGACTACTGAACTGGGAACTGAGTATGAATAAGACTGACCTCTAGTGACTATACCTCCCTCTCTGAATATCACTGGTGATCCAACACTGATTGCTGCTTGAGATGAGAGATCAACTGTGATCATACGCTGATTTGAATCAGACCAATAACATTGACTATGATCACCGATCAGTGTTAGTGTTGAATCAGAGAATATAGAATCACAATTGATTGACGGCTTGATATCACTTGATCTATCTAATGATATGATCAATGATGTTAAATCATCAGTGAAATGTATTGAATTAACGACAGGTGGGCTGTAAGAATAATTAAAACTGATAGTAGCTACAGCTCCTGACAACTGCCCATCAAAAGACAGTGATATATTGACCTGACAGGGAGAAGGAGAGGGAGGGAGAGAGCAGGTTACACTGCTGCCATTATTATAGACACCAGGTACAACCATTAGCCCTTTAGTGTCACTGGAGCAGGTATCAAACCCACTGATTAGACAAGAGACAAGAGACGATGTATTGAGGAAATTCTCTCCAATGAAATTAAGCAAAACTTCAGTACCAATTAGCGCTCTTCTAGGTGACACGTCGGTTACCATGGATACTGTATAATCCTCATAAAGATAGAGGAGAGGATTAGAGAAAGGACCATTGTCTATTTTGATGGAAACATGAAAAAGTTCAGTGTCCCTACTGCTAGTAAGAGAAGGAGCTACACATATTATTGTGCTTTGATTGACAATGTAAGCTGAAGATGAGGTACGAATATCATTACTGACTGAACTAGCAAACTGACACACTAAAGTAACATCAGTAGCACCACCGCAATGAGGCAGGCTGGTATTATAAAATGAAGTGTTTCTATAGAAACCAGCTCCATTAATAACTAGTTGAGTATCACCTGATCTTGGTCCTCTGGTAGGACTGAGAGTCGTTAATTGAAAGCAGCTGCAGTCATTCCCTCCACAGACACCACATGAATCAATACTGTGACCAGAGTTAAGGACACCATCACATCCGTAACATGTTGAATTATCACCATCACACAATCCACATGCATCCATGGTTGAATTAGGATGACGTCCTGTGTTACCGGAATGACACATGCCACAGGAATCAATAGAAGCTGATCCCCAACAGTCGTTGTTACAATCAGCGTGATCTCTAATCAGATCAGTATCTGGATCAGGTAGTTGACAGACCCCACATGAATCAGATCTGAATACTCCACCACAAATACCAGTACAGTCTATATCATCATTGAATGAAAATGGATCTGAACAGTGACCACAATCATCAGTGCTGGCATTACCATGACAAACACCTTTACAATCTCTGCAGTAATAGATAGATTAATAAATAAATAAGTGCCACAATAGATAAAGGGCAATATTATTGCTACAATAAAAATGGATTTTAGGAAGATAATAGTTAGCTAAAAAAATAAAACTATGTCATGTAGAAAGTTTGAGCTCATTTCGACTTTAATTTTTTGAGTTACTGCCATTTTAAGAAGGCATCAAAATTCTGAAAAATACTCAAGGCTATAACCCATGGTTTTTACCCAAAAAATGGCTCTGAAATCACTCCAAATTTTATTACGCATTCTGATACACATTGATGTCTAAACTCACTTGTGAATGTTGTATTGAGTAGTTTCATTAGTACATTGTCCACAATCATCAAGTGCAGCATCACCAAAACAAGCACCAGAACAATCAGTGAATGAAGGATCAGTGATCAGAGAAGAAGAGACACCATTAGTAGAAACACACTCACTGCATTGTCCTGGGGTAGTCATAGACCATGGTATCCCGTCACACCCCGAGCAGTCTCTGTCATGATTGACTGCAGTACAAAGGCTACAGCTGTCATATAAACTGTTAGTGACTCCATTACAACCACTGCAGCTGGAACCATCCCCACCACAAAGACAACAAGCATCATGAAGGTTACCTGAATTAACCACACCATCACACCCGACCCTACTGGCTATTAGGACTGATGTAGAGGAGCTGAAGCGACCAATCGGATTAGAGAGTGAGCGAGAGGTGTTAACATAAGGATCAGTGTTAACATTGATTTTTTGATTCTCAGAATCACCGACTGATCCTAACGTGTGATCCCATGATTTGACAGTGAGAGAAGGTGCGTCACCATTAGTCCAGTAGTAGTGTGGGTTAGGAATGAATCTGAAACTGTCAGTTGATAATAATAATAATCCTCTTTGTGGAGTTATGATGGAAGGAAAATTAATCCAAGCATCTAAAGAAAGAGAGAGATTATCAATTTAATAATTAGTATAATTAAAAGGTCAAATATAATTATCATTATTTGAAATTAAATCTCACCTAAGTTTCTTCTCTTATACTGCCATACCCCGTTTCCGCTGTTCACTCCAATTACAGCTAGTCCGAGTACATTGTCTTTATCTTGATCTCCTGATATCTGAACTGATACCACACCCACTGAATGGACTGTAGGGGGGCCGGACTCACTGTTACCATGACAACCACTACCGGGACCATATCGACTCACTACAATATAAATGAATAAATAAATAAATAAATAAATAAATAATTACAACTTACCATTTGCAAATTGTGACACTGGTAGTATATTATTAATTTGATCGTTTGAAGTTACTTTATTTCTCACTTCATCTATACTCATAACAGTGCTGAAACTAACATAAGAACTAAGAGAGAAAAAAACAACAACAACAATAATAATAATAATAATAATAATAATAATAATAATAATAATAATAATAATAATAATGATGATGATGATATTTAATAAATTACAATGATTACCTGTTCTGATCTGGTGAAGAATAGACTCTTCGTACAATAACTGATTCTTCTAACACAACACTCAGTATGTTCTGAGTATTATCAACCATTGGACGAATGACACTGATATTATGATCAACGAGAATTGTGATCATTGAATCATGAACATAATCAAGATTATACGGAATAGGTAAGAGTGTGAAACTTGATCTAGTTATGATTGGATCATCAGGAACATTAACCACAGTTAATGTCAGTAACTGATTCATACTGACATGATACTGATCAAAAGCTGATTGAAATGAGCTGACAAACACTGTCATATTATGTACTGTTGGTGTGTTAGTGTTTAAAGATGACAGGACCCCATCCCAAGCACTTATACCGAGCTGTACCAATCCATTGAAATTATCTGATGGTAGATATCGTATCAGTGACGTTGAGTTAAGAATCAATATTTGATCAGGATTAGTCAATATATCAGTGATGTAGACAAACAGCTGTGGATCACCATTTAAAGATACCTGCCAGTTGTTGTTATTATTATTATTGCCAGTTGTGTTTAGTGAAACAGCTAGTCCAACTTCTTGTCCATTATTTAATGCAGCCTGTCTTTGTTGTCGAATGTCATTAGCAACAGTAACAGCATCATAATACCTTCTGACTGCTTCTACTGGTAACAGTGCTTCATTAATCCCTGATAATCCCTGTATATAAGTGGTGGGTATTAATGGAAGATAGTTCATGAATATACTAGTAATATCACTTAGTGTATGTCCATCATTATCAGCCAATGGAGTATCCTCTAGTAATGTCAATGAAGATAGTGTTAAAGAAGGTGACAGTACTACTGGTAATAGTAATGATACTAAATATGTATCATTCAAACTGAGGCCTCCGGTTGATGTATAATTTGAAACTGGTCCATAATACGGGATTACTGATTGTACGATTGTGGTTGAGTTGCTATGGAAACCGTCGGTATTTCCATCCCATATTTTAACCTTAAGCCACACGGCACCTTCAAGAGACTCCGCCCACCTCCAGTACCTAATGCAGGCTGTATTGGGTAGGTATAAAGCATTGGACTCTGATACTAGAGTGATGTTAATCCATGAAGAACTAGCAGAGCAAGATAAGCATTCATTTAAACTGCCATTGCATAAAGAATACTGCCAGACTCCATCAGTAGACTGGCCTCCATTAATAGGATCAGAACTCAATCCAGTGATGATTACACTGATCTCTTCTGATTGAAAATCAGTAGCAACATGATCAGAATCATTAGATAATACACTACCAATCATGTGTCCATTATAACCAGCCAGAGCAGATCCATAAGCATCAATAGTATCAACATACACTATTCCTTCATCAATGGCTGGTGGTACATTAGCTAGTCTACACTGTTCACCAGTCAACAGACAAGAGTCCAATACTGGACAATAGTACATACCAGCTGTACAGCACTGCCTTGCATCAGGAACACACTGTATAGCACTATTAGGAGGACATGGTGTTAGCTCAGGAGGACATAAACTGCAAAGATGAGGATCAGTGACATTAGAACAGGTACTGATGCCTTCACAGTAGACATTACCAACATTGGAACAGTCTTGTAGTGGCAGTGTTGCTGATAAAGTACAATAACGTGTTCCATTAGATCTCTGGACTAAAGTCTGACCTGCCAGGCAGACGTTAGTATCACAAGGAAAAGATTGGGCCTCTGGATGACAAGTATCAGTAGAAGGGCATAATGAAGTACCAATGGGACACTGGCCAGAACAGGAGCGGTTGCTATGGAGACACTCTCTCGTTGTATTGCAAGGAACCTGTCATGATAATAATAATATATAACTAATAAATAAATAAAATAATAAAAGTCTTACCAGTTCATTATTAAAGCAGTAATGAGACATACATAACCAATTCATTGGAGAAAGAGTCTAAAATATAGTAATAATAATAATAATAATAATAATAATAATAATAATAATAATAATAGTAATAATAATAATAATAATAATAATAATAATAATAATAATAATAATAATAATAATAATAATAATAATAATAATAGAACAATGTATAATTAATAGACTTACCATTCCATCAGTGCAGTAGGCATCACAGGTTGGATTATTGGGAATAATATATTCACAAGATAATGATCTGGGAACAACGCTGGTGCAGTAGCCATCTGTAAATAAATAAATAAATAAATAAATAAAATAAATAAAGGAATAAATAAATTGGGATAGTTTATATGTATCAGGAACTGCAATAAAAATGGACAATCCTTTCCTTTTCATTTTTGGCAAAATTTGACAGAAGTCCCTGTACTATAGTACAGGGACTTTGGCCCAATTTTGGAGTAACTTTAAAAATTCGTAAAAAATTTAATTTTAATCAGAATCAGCTCAAACTTTCTACACAACATAAAAACATGTATATGTACCAGATAAAATGATAAAAATTGAGAATTCTCAAAATTTCATTTTTGGTGAAATCTGGCTTGTGACCCTGTACTATAGTACAGGGACTTTGGCTCAATTTTGAAGTAACTTTAAAAATTCGTAAAAAATTTAATTTTAATCGGAATTAGCTCAAACTTTCTACACAACATAAGAACATGTATATGCATCAAAATAATTATAAAAATAAAATATTCTCAAAATTTAATTTTTGGCAAAATTTGACCAACATCCCTGTACTATAGTACAGGGACTTTGGTTCAATTTTAGAGTAACTTTAAAAATTCATAAAAAATCCAACCTTGATCGGAATTAGCTCAAACTTTCTACACAACATAAGAACATGTACACGTATTATCAAAAGGATTCTTTGAATTATTACCTTGTTCACAATAATTTCCTTCATCAATAATACTGATATGTACAGTTGCCATGGAAACAAGAGAACCATCAGAAGCAGTGATTAGAATGTAGCTTGAATTAGGAGAATTCTCAGGAATTTCAATCAAAGTTGATATAACTCCTGTAGCATTGTCAATGGAATATAATTGAATACCAGACTGATAGCTGATATTATAAGTCAACAGTGAGTCTGGAATCATATCAGGATCAGTCGCATTGATATCTAACACAAACTGATTCCGTGTCAAGAGTCTAATCACGTCAACGTAATACTCTGACTGATCAAAAACTGGATACTCATCATTGATATTCTTAACACTGATTTGAACAGGAACACTCCTTGATCTCACAAGATCATAGCCAGAATCAATCGCTGATACTAATATCTCAGTAAATGGTGTTAACTCGTAATCAATATCACTAGCTGTACTGATCAGGCCAGTGGTCTCATTAATGTTGTATAGCGCAGTATCATTAACATATTTATTAACTGTGATCTGATATCTCAATCCTGCTGAATCAATATCAAAAGCACTGATTTGAATCACTGCTGATCCTAACGCTAGTCCTTCAGTGATACTAGCAGTATATAACGACTGGTTGAATTCAGGATTATGATTATTATTATCAATGATACTGATATTGACTAACACACTTGAGATCTTTGGTGGACGTCCCTGATCTGTTGCTAAGATGGACAAAGAATAAAATGATTGAGTGTTGAAATCAAGTCCTGATGCTACTGTAATCAAACCGGTTAGAGGAGAGATGTCAAAATCATTCTGATCAGTGTTAATGGAGTAACGAACTACATTAGTTTGATTCTGATCAGGATCAGTGGCTGATATCATTAACACATCACTACCTATAGCTAGTGTCTCACTGATTTCTACTGTATAGCCATTCGGTTGATCGAAAACTGGACTATTGAGATTATCTTTATAAATATTGATGAATACGTTACTGGTTGAACTCCTCGGGGTAGGATAGCCATGATCAGTAACTAGTACTGATACAGCATAGTCCATCTCTCCATCATCATCTCCTAATATCAGTTCAGCACTAGTGTAGATACTTCCATTGTTGATATTAATTACAAATAGGCCAGGCACTGTCTGGTGTGTTATAAAATAGACTAGTTCACCGTTGTTAGCAATATCCTGATCTGTGACTGATATATGAAGTATTTCTGATCCAATACTAGTGCTGGATGGTATCTCTATTGAATAATACAACTGAGAGAATAAAGGATTATTGTCATTGGTATCAAGTACAGTGATACTGATCAGTCCAATTGAGTACAGTACTTGATCAGCGTTAGGATTACTAACATTAATTATCAGTGAATGAGATGATTCTCTCTCTCTGTCTAATGGTCGAACCAGGGTTAAGGTTTGGGTTAGTGTATCAAATGAGAAGAGATCAGAGTCTTGAGATAATGTGATGAGTCTTTGAGTATTGACACCAGGTGAATCAAGATCATACGTTGATAGTGTGATCAGATCAGTTCCGATTGGAGTAGATTCAGAGATTAATAGTTGATACTGATCAGAAGAGAAGTAAGGAGGGTTGTCGTTAACATCAATGATACTGAGTGTTAATATCACATAAACTTTATTGCCAGTTGACACAGATTCTGATTCAATATTTAACACATATCTTGATAATCTCTCATAATCAACATTACCTATTAATACTAAACTACCATTTGATTTTAACTCAAAAGTATCATCAAACACAGCTGATCTAGTACTGTTTGGTAAAATAAATCTCAACAGTGAATCAGTATTGGAATCAGTGTTAACTGATCCAATCAGTGAGTTGATATTGGAATCTTCAGATACAGTAAAATGGTAGGTAACTGATTCAAAAAGAGATTCTGTATTATCACGATCATGTACATTAACATGTACCATTATGATAGCAGTGGTACCAGCAGGATCTGTAGCTTTAACACTGAGAGAGTACGACCCTACTATTAGTGACTTAATTACATAGAGTTCACCAGTGTTACTGTTAATAGCTAGTGTATCAGTATCAGTGTTAATCAATGAATAAATCAATGAGATCTCATCGTTGTGGTCAGCATCACTAGCAATCAAGTAGCCTATTGATGTACCTATTGCAGTCTCCATACTAATATTAATGTAATACTGATCAAGAATATAATACGGATTGTATTCATTGTCATTCAGTATGTTAACAGTTAGAATCATACTGTCAGATAAAGGAGGGTCTCCATTATCAGATACTAGTACAGATAGACTGTGGACTGGCTGTACTTCAGTATTAATGATACCATTAAGAATCACTTCACCACTGGTACTGTTAATCAAGAACAACAGATCAGTGCTATTGTCATCTGAATCATCCTCAATCTGTTTATAGGTTAGTAATGCATTGGTACCAATATCATTATCAGTAGCAATCAATTGTGTTAGTACAGTACTTTCTTGAGTTGATTCTGATATTGAAACTGATGAATATCGGCTTGAAAATTCAGGATAATGATCATTAACATCACTGATACTGATATCAAGTGTCGTACTAGCAGTGAATTGAGGTGATCCCAGATCAACGGCTCTGATACTTAACACGTAATGATCAGTAATCTCTCTATCAAGATACTGTGCTGTAGTACTTAGCAGTCCTGTCTCCTCATTAAGATTGAAATGGAATCCTTCATTGCCAGATAATATGGTGTATCTTAGCTCTCCATTGGTACCATTATCAGGATCTTGTCCTGGTGCAGTGAAGACACTGCTGTAGAGGATGGAGGATTCAGGAACTGATATATAGTAGACATCTTGTTCGAAATATGGTGGATTGTCGTTAATATCAGTGATATTGATCACCACCTGGGCAGTAGAGGAGAGAGACGGGTTGCCATGGTCACTGACTAACACTGAGAATGAGTAGTCCTGTGTTGTCTCGTAGTCCAGTTGCCTAGCAACCGATATCACTCCTGATGATGAATCAACGGTGAAATCAGATTCATTTAGTATTGAGAAAGAGAATTGACCGTTTGCACTGATATCAGCATCAGTGGCTGATAGTATCAATACCGTTGAATTCACAGTGATATCTTCACTGATCACTGCTGAGTATAATGACTGAGTAAACAATGGTTCATTATCATTAACGTCTAAAATATTAATAATCAATAATGCTGTAGATGAAAGAGGAGGTAGGCCATTATCAACCACTGATACTGTGACATTGATATTATCAACTGATTCCCGATCAAACTGATCAGCAAGTGACACTGATCCTGAGATATCATTGATTTCAATTAAAGGAACATTAGCAGTTGAATGGATTATGTAGAAGTTGAAATCACCATTCAATTCTATATCAGAATCAGTGGCATTAAGTTGAATCAGCTCAGTATCAGTATCAGTGTCTTCGTTCCATGACACTGTGTATATATTCTGATCAAATAACGGAGGATTATCATTCAAATCAAGAACACTCACTGATACATTAACTTCACTGCTCAACCCGTTCACTGGCTCATCAATTGCTCTAACAATGAATGAATAATCCTCAAACTCCTCCCTATCCAAAGGTACCAGTGTGGTAAGTACTCCAGTGGTTGCATTAATGTTGAATATCTCATCTACACTCTCTCCTCCTTCATCAGGTCCCAGTTCATATGTGATATTATCAAGATCAACATCAGTAGCTATGATATGACCTATAGTGCTACCATTTGGCTGATTCTCAAGAATATTAAAATGATATGAAGACTGTGTGAATATTGGTCTGTTATCATTAGTGTTCAATATTAGGACACTGACATTCACTGTAGAGAAAAGGGGAGGTTCCCCTGTATCCATGGCAACCACTGTGAGGGTATATTGGTCGATGGTCTCGGAGTCTAGTGGTCCACTGGTGGTAATCAGTCCTGATTCATTGTTGATATTGAATGGATAGGAATCAGAAGAAATCAGTGAATACATGATATCAGAGTTGATCTGTGTTATATCAGAATCAGCAGCATTAACACTGATCACATCACTGCCTATAACAGCTGACTCATATATCCCAGTAACGTATTGATTCTGATCAAATATCGGAGGATTATCGTTGACATCATTAACACTTATGATCAGTAATATGGTTGAGTATTGAAACTGGCCAGTAGTTATATCATTATAAGCAAGTAATGTCATTATTAAACTGTCAGTAGATTCAGAGTCTAATGATCCAGTAACATACATCTCACCAGTTGTACTGTTGATGTAAAATACTGCATCTCCAACATATTCTGTTGGAACTGAGTCCCCAATTGAAGTAGCATTGATGCTTGATATATTATAATGAATGACAGCATTGTTACCAGTATCAGCATCAGTGGCATCTACCGTCATGAAATGATGATCAACATAATCAACATTCTCTGTTAAAGTTGCATTATAAGAATCAGAATTGGAATCAATATCAAATATCGGAGGATTATCATTTTGATCAAGAATGATCACATCAACAGTAGTGGTGCCATTAAGAGATGGTGTCCCAGAATCAGTTACTATTACTAACAATGTATAATGATCTATTGCCTCCCTGTCCAGTGGTACCAGACTGGTAATAAGACCTGTGCTGGAGTTAATGGTAAAGCTATCACCAGGGGGATCTATTGATATTATATTATAGCGGAGATCAGCATTGATTCCGATATCAAGATCACTAGCACTGAGTCTGATTATATCGGTGTTAGGATCAGCGTTCTCTGATATTGATCCTGTGTAATTAACGAAATCAAATTGAGGGGGAGAATCGTTAACATCGATTATCTCCACGGTAACTGTTGCCATGGCTACATTAGGAGGTACTCCATTATCAGTCGCAGTCACAGTAAAGTTGTGATGAGTTGTTTCTTCTCTGTCTAAAGGAGAGAGGTTCATTATGACACCAGTTAATGGATGAACAGTGAAAGTATCAGAACCAGTTGCTAAAGAGTATGAAATCTCACTATTAGCACCAATGTCATCATCGCTTGCTTCTACTCTTAATATGACAGCACCTGTTGCCGTATTCTCCACTAACTGTCCAGTGTACAACGACTGGTTGAACACTGGTGACTGGTCGTTGGTATCAGTGATGGTAATAAAGACACAGGACGAGGAACTGAGTATTGGCGAGCCACCATCATACGCATAGACCAGTAGTACATACTGATCAATGAATTCACGATCCAAACTACCAGCTGTGAATATACCGCCAGTTACAGCATTAATGGTAAAAGTATCATTAAGATCAACTTGATCAGTGTTAAGATTAGTGTTAACATATGATACTGAACAGAGGTGAGTTGAATTAGGACAGTGTGATATGCAATCAGTCTCGTTCATCAATATTGTCTCAATATCATAACTTATATCAGCATTAATATCAATATCAGAATCAACAGCTGATACAGTTAATATTGGAGTATTAAGAGGAGAATTCTCTGACACTGATCCTTGATACAAATCAGCGTTAAATATCGGAGGATTATCATTATAATCATTAATGATCACAGTTAGTATAGAAGTGGATGAGAGAGAAGGAGACCCATCATCCCTAACTCTTAAAGTCAGGGTGTAGTTGGACTGTGCCTCTCTATCAAGAGTCATTGCTAATAATATCAATCCTGAAGTATCATTAATCATGAAAACACCACCATCTGATACAAGAGCAGAATCACCATCAACTGTGTTAATAAACGAGTAGATCAGTTCAGAGTTAGAGCCGGAATCGTAATCAAATGCAACGACTTCAATCAGTTCAGTTTCTAGATCAGCGGCCTCTGATATATTAGCGATATATTGATCCTGATCAAATATTGGAGGGTTATCGTTAACATCAATGACACTGATAGATACTGTAGTCTCATTGGTCAGTCTGATACTGATGTGACCACTGTCAGTGGCTCCAATTACTAAACTATAATAATTAATGTATTCATAATCAATATCACGAATCAGTGTTAAACTGCCTGTGTTAGGATCAATGCGAAATGAATTGTCGACATTTCCTGATACTATGTAATACTGGATAGTTGAATTCTCACCAAGATCAGGATCAGTCGCAGTGATATTGATTAACACTTGATCTAATGCTTGATCTTCTGATACAGACAGACTGTAGTTATCCTGATCAAAATAGGGTGGAGCTTCATTAATATCAAGTACTCGTATCAGTAAAGTAGCTGATCCAATCAAGGGATTAACAGAATTATCAGATGCTGATACAGTTAGATTGAATAAATCAATATCTTCTCTATCAATATCAGCGTTAGTGAATATCTCACCAGATGATGTGTTGATATAAAAGACGTTCAAGTCATTACCAGCTGTTATGGAGTAAGTGATGGCTGGGCCGTTGGTAATGTCTTCGTCTTTTGCTAGTAGTTTAATGATAAAGGTCTCGTTTGGTGTGTTCTCAGGGACTGACGCTGTTAGCAAAGAAGAAGGGAAGTAAGGGATAACATCGTTAACATCTGTTACCGTGACAACACAAAGTGCATTGGCATAGTGACCACCTCCATCAGTAGCGTTAAGTGTTAAAGTATAACTAGTGAGGTTCTCTCTATTAAGAGGAGAGACTATCCTCAAGATACCAGAATGAGGAGTGATGGAGAACTGGCCAAAAGGATCTCCTGAATGTATAGAATAGGTAATAAGACCATTTGTGTTATCATATGAATTAGTTAACTCGTTAAAAATCACTGGATCAGCATCGCTAGCAAATACTGTCAGTAAATCAGATCCAATTGTTGTATTTTCACTGATGGACAGTAGGTAAGTCTCCTTGTCCCATATTGGCTCGTTATCATTCTCATCAATGATGACAATCACGATCAGTGCTGTTGAATACAGCTGAGGTATCCCTCCGTCACTAGCTATAGCTCTCAACTGGTAGGCTCCTTGTCTCTCGTAATCAAGACCATCACCTGATATTGATATATTACCACTCGTTGAATTGATTTCAAAATCATAGTTACGATAATCACCAAGCAGACCAAACCTTATCTCCCCATCAGAGCCAGTGTCACCGTCAGTTGCTTTAACTGTTATATCAATGTACTGACCAATGGGTGAGCTTTCAGTGAGAGAAGTGGAGTATAGTACAGGAGAGAATACTGGTGTGTGTCTGTTACCATTGAAGAGTTGAATAGATAGAGACACATTTGATGAAAGAGGAGGGACAGTGTCACTATTAGCAGCTGTTATGTTAATGGTATAATCATGAGGATCAACATTGTAATCCAGTAATCTGTTTAAACTCAGGTCTCCAGTGAATTGATTTATTGTGAATATATTATTGAGATTACCTGATGTTATGCTGTATCTGATGGTATTAGCAGGTGGGGATCTGTCCCTATCTGAGGCCTGTAGCTTGAAGAATGACTGACCAGCAGCTGTAGTCTCGTACAGTGGAACATAGTAAGAAGAGAGAGAGAACACAGGAGGAAACTCATTAGTGTCACTGATACTGACGTTAATAATAGAATAGGCATAAGAACCACTTTCAATCACTTGTATTGATATCTGATAACTTGATATTGATTCAAAATCAAGTTTACTTGAATCAACGTAAAGTGATGCTGACGATATAGAGAATGCATTGCCATGGTTACCATAGACAATGCTAAAGACATTAGAAGGAGAACTGGGAGCCGCCCTGTCATAAAGACCGAGGACTGGTAGAATACTGTCATGGGTCTCTGTTATACTGACAGAGTATGACGTAGAAGTGAAGACTGGGGAACTTCCTGGGCTGGTAACATGAACACTAACAACTGCTGTTGAATTATAAACACCATCAGTTGCCTCCAGTGTAACATTGAGTACTTGATTTGAGTGTGCTACTAATGATCCTAACAGGTTTAGTGAACCGGTTGTACGAGATACTGAGAACAGTGAGCTAAAAGTACTGTCCATTAAATAATAATACACTGGGTCAGTAGTATCAGTATCTATTGCTGCTGCTGTCATTAGTAGAGTATCAATGGGGGCAGTATTGGACACAGACAGTATGTAGTTATCAGCAGTGAATGATGGAGGATTGTCATTAACATCAGTAATTTGCAGTATCAATGTTGTGAAATTATATAAAGGTGGGTTTCCATTATCGCTGGCATTCACTATCATGTAATAAAACCTTAAAGGTCCCTCGTAATCTACGTATGATGATAAAATAATTTCACCCGTAGATTCATTTAATTGGAATGCAGCATTACCGTCAACCAGTGAATAGCTAATGGTACCATTGTCACCAGCGTCACCGTCTGATGGATCCAGTGTATATACTATAGACCCAGGGGGTGTGTCCTCAGGTATATAACGGACGATGGTGGAGTTGAACAATGGTGACTGGTCGTTGAAATCATTAATAAATATATCAATGATACTAGTTGATGAACTGTAGACTGGTGATAGGCTATTATTAGCAAGTATCGTTAGATTAAACTCCGCCCCTAACTCCTCCCTATTAACGAACCCATGAGTGTAGAGTACCCCAGTCTCATTGCTGATACCAAACACGTGAGACGGGCCATCAATCAGCAAATACTCAATCATTGCATTGTCTCCAGAATCATCATCAGTTGCAGCCACTTGTAACAGATTTGAACCGATCGGAATATTCTCAAATAACGAGAGAGAATAGACTGACTGGGTAAACATTGGCTGGTTATCATTATAATCAATAATACTAATGGTCACTCTACTGGTAGCGTCTCTAGGTGGTGATCCTGAATCAATCACTGATACAGTAAATGTATACTGATTCACTGATTCATAATCAAATATAACACTAGTATTGATCCAACCTGTGTTAGGATTAATTGAGAATTGAGTGGAATTGATTATTGAGTAAGTTAAATCAGCATTAATTCCAATATCATCATCACTGGCCATTACTTGTATCACTGGTGTTGATATTAATACTGATTCTGATATATCAGCATTATACTGATTCTGACTGAACACAGGATCATGATCATTGCTATCACTGATTTCAATGAACACAGTAGCAGTAGAGGAGAGCTGAGGGTCACCTGAATCTGTTGCCATAACAACAAGATCATACAAATCCCTTTCTTCTCTATTAAAGGTAGCTAGTGTTGTTATCTGTCCAGTGGATGAGTTGAGGAAGAAGTGATGGTCAGTATAATCTAAGAGCAATGAATAAGTGACCAGTGAGTTATTCCCTGGACTGTCAGGATCTATAGCTTCTATAAAACCCACTGACGACCCTGGGGCAGAGTTCTCAAGTACTGATATATTAAGAGAAGACTCCACCCATTCAGGTTCTCTATCATTCACATCAGTAATGAATACAGTCAGTGGTACTATTGATTGCAATGGTGGGGTACCTTGATCAGTTACTATTAAAGACACTGTATAGTTAGGACCTGTCTCCCAGTCTATGGTGTCATTAACGGTAACTACTCCCGTCACAGGATGAACTGATAGTTCTGAGCTCCTATAGCCAATAAGAGAGTACCTCAGCTGGTTATTGGGTTCTGTGGCATCGTCATCATTAGCAAAAACCTGCCCCAGTTCAGTATCCATAGGAGAGTTCTCAAGGACTTCAAACGAGTAAGAGCTATTGATAAAGTACGGGGTATTGTCATTAAGATCCTGGACCAGTACTGTAACTACTGCAGTGGAGCTAAGACCAGCTGGAACTAGTCCAGCATCAACTGCCATTATTGTTAATTCAAACTCAGATTCAATCTCACGATCGAAATGATCCTGAACTGATATATCACCAGTTGATGAGTTGAGATCAAAACGAACTGTTGTTATATTAGTGACGTTATCAAAATCAGTGAAAGAGTCTGTGCTATTAGGAGCAAAATAAAAAGATAAAAATGAATTAGTTCCTTCATCATAATCAGTAGCATTGACTCTATAAAATATTAATCCGACTGGTGAATTCTCAGGGAAAAAGGCGGTCAACGGTTCATTAAAGACAGGTGCATTATCATTAGAATCAATGACACTGACTAGGACAGATCCAAACCCATACAGTGATACTGGTTGCCCCTGATCCATAACTATTATTGTCAGATTATATTCTTCCTGTATTGTCCTGTTCAATACTTTAGCTACACTGAGGGTACCAGTAACAGGGTCTATGGTGAACTCATTCCTATCATCGCCATTATAAATACCATATCTTAGTACAGCGTTGATTCCAATATCATTATCAACTGCAGTGTGATTAGTTAGAATCACTTCTCCTGGCGGTATCAACTCATATGCTGTTACGAGGGGAGGTTCCCCTTCAAAGAATGGTGATTGGTCATTCTTGTCTCCAATAGCAACAGTAAGGTTATTAATAAATGATTGGGTAGGGTCCCCAAAGTCAGTTGTTAGTATTGAGAGTATGAAACCTTCAGGCCGAGCCTCTCGATCAAAGACCCTGTTAGCTATTAGTACTCCATCAGGAGAGAGTGAGAACGAACTAGTTATATTGTCATCATCATCATTATAATCGTCGTCATGGTAAACTTCAATTAATGTAAAGTTAAAGATACCTCCTTGATCCGGGTCAGGGTCAAAGGTCAAACTGGAAAGATTTGCAAACTGAACGAAAGGCTCTGAGTTTTCAGGTATTGTAGGCGTGTCAGTGGGTGTGGTCACAATGATAATTGGTGCTTCATCATTCTCATTAGTAAGATACACAGTGACGTTAGTACGAGCTGTTCTAGGAACAGGGAAACCGCCATCATAAGCTTCAACTTGAAAGAATATACTATTGTCATCATATCTGAGGAGAGAGAGAGAGAGGGAAGGGTCATTAATGTATTCTATTTAATTATTAGTGAAATTTGACCAAAGTCCCTGTGCCATATAGTACAGGGGACTTTGGCCCGATTTTGAAGAAATTTGTAAAAAATCCAATTTTGATCGGAATCAGCTCAGACATTCCATGAAATATAAGTACAAGTACATGTATATGCATCAGGAAATGTAATAAGAGCCTCATAACTTACTTATAATCATAGTCCAGTGTTCTATTAATAAATATTCTTCCAGTGTCTGGCTCCACGTCAAAGGATCCTGAAGGACCAAACTCCCACTCACTCCCACCGTCCGGTATATGGTACCATAGTTCACCTATTAGACCATTGTCTCTATCAGTAGCGGTAACATTAAGTACATTGGTATCAACCGGGGTCGTCTCAGTTAACGTTATGTTTTGATCAAGTATGGTAAATTCCGGACCATTTGGATTAAGCTCGTGAATTGTGATCAGTAGATATCGGAATATTGACTCAAACGAGGGCACTCCATTATCATAAGCACGTATTGAATAAACGTAAAATCCTCTGCGAGATAAATCAATATCAGAATTAACACTGATATTACCCGACACAGAATCAATAGCAAAATCATCATTATCTGATTCGTAAAACTCGTACTGTACAAAACCATTAGAACCTTCATCAGCGTCTGTAGCTAGAACAGTAAGGAGTGTATAGCCAACAGTCTCTGTGTCCAATATTCCAACTGATATATTAGTATCATAAGACCAGACTGGAGCATTATCATTGACATCAGTAACAGTGATCAATACTGATACCGTTGAGTAGAGAGTGTATGAATCATTAGTAGGTGAATCATGTGCTTCCACTGTTAGACTATATTGAGGTATTGACTCTCGATCAAGAGGTACAGCAGTGATCAATGCTCCTGTTGCATTATCCAGTATAAAACTACTAGTGTTGGATATTATATTATAATAGACTGTACCGTTTTCACCAGAATCAGGATCAACAGCTGCAATAGTGCCGACTAACTGACCAGTGGGTGAACTCTCACTTATGTCCAGTTGATATAGTGAGGTAGAGAATAATGGAGGGTTATCATTAACGTCTAAAAGATGAACAGTAACTGTTATAGTATCAGATAATGGTGGTAAACCACGGTCTATAGCTGAGATAGTCAGTGCTAGTGGATTACCAGCTTCTCTATCCAGTTCACTGGTTAGTACCAGACTACCTGTAGTTGCATTAACAGTAAAACTGTTTGTAACATCACCAGAAGATATCGTATAATATATATCAGCGTTAAGACCATAATCATCATCAGTAGCGTTAATATAGTCAATGAGTATCAGACCAGGGGGAGTGTCTTCGGACAGAGTGACGTTAAAGTTTGCCGGATAAGTAATGACAGGTGGATTATCATTTGAATCCAGTATTGTAACCAGTAGAACAGCAGTGTCATTGAGCCCACCTCCATCTGTTGCTAGTAACGTTAGATTATAAAAATCAACAGAATCAACATCAAGATTAGCTGACACTGATATCCAGCCAGTATCAGGGTTGATTGAGAAATGACTCAACTCGTTTCCGTTGATTATTGAATAGATAACGCGTCCATTACTGATAGTGTACGTAATATCACCAAAACTCTCACTGTCTTCATCGATTTCTTGAACGGACTCCACCTGGTCAGGATCTGATGCAAAAGCACGGAAGAACTGGGACCCTGGTGAAAGGTTTTCAGATATAAGCTCTTCATATATGGACTGGTTAAAATGAGGAGCATTATCGTTAATATCAATGAGGATCAGTGTTATGGGTTGAGTAGCATTGAGGTCAGGAGCGAGGTTTGATATGAAAATGATGTTAATATCAAATCTGATCTTTGTAATGTCAGTTTCTCTATCAATGAGTATTGCATTGGACAGTTGACCAGTACTTGGATTGACACTGAAATAAGAGGAATCTGGACCAGACTGGAGCTTATAATGACCTGAAATATAAATTATAAATAAATACAAATGGAGAAGCAGTGACATTTATATAATACAATTAGTCTATATCTATAGTCTATATATAATGCCTTATGAGTGAAGATTGCAGGGTGTCATTTGGTTACCTGTGCCTTCATTCCGCTCCAAAACACTGCCTGGTATGAAATAGGACACATCCAAGTTTACAAAGACAGTCCCTGGCGCTGCTTCCTCTTTCATTTCAGTTAGCTGAGCACCTAACGCAAAGTCAAAGTTGATTCCTTGTCCATCAATACAAGACACGGTGGACAGGAGGAGGAGCAGCAATAGGCTTAAAGTAACACCCGCCATATTTGAGAAGAGTAGCAGCCTTTGCTTGAGCTGCACTCAAAGAGAAGAACAGTGAACAGTTAGTACGAGGAGACTGAGAAGGATTACAGTCACATACAGAGCTGCTTGCAATTGCGAATTGCTGCAGACACAGCCACACCCTCCCAATGCAATATTTGTTTAGTATCCAATGGCAACCACATAATGAATAAAATTAATTCTTATAGACAACAAGAGAAATGGAAGATGAATTTAGCCAAGCCCCTCTCTCTCTGTGATACCATCTTCTTGATTGGTTTAAAAATGAAAAATCCATTAACTCAAAAACTCGCCTAAAATGAAATAAAATGAATAAAGAATAGAGAGAGAGAGAGAGAGAAGATGATAATAATTATATCAGTTACATCATACCATATTCTTTATCTTGACATGACTCTGTCCAGTAGTATATAAAACAGAAAGAAGAGGAGGAGAAGAAATAAAACAAAATAAATCATTAGCCGACAGTTTCCAGTCCTTGTTGATCTCATTAATTTAACCCTGTTGAAACTACCACTTAATAACGAGGAGGCTGTATCAAATATATTGGACTACATGAGAGGGGGAGGAGTCACGGCATTACATCAATTAATATTTACTGAATCATCCATCATCTTTACTTGACTGCTAACTTCCTGTTTTAAATCTAAAGTAACCTATAAATAAATAAATAAATAATAATAATAATAATAATAATAAATTAATAACCTATACATTAATAATAATAATAACAATGTAACAATGGGCTATTCTAAAAATTTGCTCATTTAAAATGGTCGTAACTCAAAAATTTGAGCTCGAAATCAGCTCAAACTTTCTACACAGCATAAGTACATCAATATGTATCAGAAAATCTAATAAAAATTTGGGGTGATTTCGGAGCCATTTTTTGGAAAAAACCATGGACTATAGCCTTGGGTATTTTTCAGATTTTTGATGTTTTCTTAAAATGGCCGTAACTTGATAAATTGAAGTCGGAATCAGCTCAAACTTTCTAAATAGCATAAGGACATCAATATGTATCAGAAAATGTAATAAAACTTCCGGGTGATTTTGGAACCATTTTTTGGAAAAAAACCGTGGGCACAGCGAATTTTTCAGAAATTGGCCAATTTTTAAAATGGCCATAACTCAAAAACTTCAGTTGGAAGAGTTAAAAATTTCTACATAGCATAATGTAATTAAAATTAGAGTGATTTTGGAGCAATTTTTGTCCCCAAAACACAAAATTACAATAAATTTAAGACTCACGTGTCTAAGTGTCTTGACTTTAGATGCCAGTCCATCCACTAACCTGTCATTCTCACTCTCCATCATTTCTTCAGAGAAATTACTATCATCTACAAACTATATTAAGAACTGGTTGTGACTGTTTCTCTTACTAAGTCCTCCTCCTCCTCTACCAAAGTTTTGCTTTATTCTTCCTCCGGCCATTTTCATGTAGTGGGCGGAGCCACTTTAATAATGAATTAATGATACGAGTATACGGAAAATTTTTAATTTCCGTATATCATAAAAACTAATTAATTATTTGCACTATAGAGGTCAAGGTGTTGATTCTGTTGGACTTTTAGTAAATAGTTATTGCAACAAGCACAGCAGGTGTCAGCACCCTGACGCAGCATATGTTGAGTCAGCATTTTAGCACTTCAACACCTAGTACTGCAAATGCATAATCAGCTGCATATGTAGACATGATTATTATTAACAACAATGATTCAACAAAATTAATCAAATAAATCAACATTGTACATTGTACAGCCAAATAATTGAAATAAATGAAATACCTATTACATGTAACTATTGTTAGATTATATACATAGTTATTGATTATATACAACAGTCAATGATTATATACAACAAGGTTCCTTTCAATGATGGACTCATGGTTGAGCCACAGTAGCAACGTCGATGATGACCTTGAAGAACATGGCATCATCTTTAAGGTAACGGATGTCATCAAAGACACCCGTTGGTGCAAATCTGGGGCAGCCGGAAGCAACATTCACATCGGATTTTGGTTTCCAGAAAGAAGATGAAGATGGATCTGGTTTAAAGCACTGTACAATATGGTTGCTAGAGCCAGACTGATCAAGAAGCATTAGAGTAACCATTTGTGAGAATGGCCATGGCAACAGTGCATCATATTCTCCTCTCATTACAGTCAGGAAGAATGAGATGTGAGTATTCTTGCCGGATCCGTCTCCATTAAGATACAGCCTTAAGCAGAGCTTGTATCCAAACCTGCTGGTATGAAATGGCGCACTGTAGAGAGATCCAGTTTTACCAGTCCTTGAATCTTGTCTTCTTCTAGCAACTTCAGGGATCTTCCAGACAAACTGACCATTGAAACTCGTAGCTTGATGTGCCTGAAATATAAAAGACAGCTCTGAGTAGCTGTCTTGCAATTCGCTCAGTTTCATTTCAGCTTTTAAAAGCCCATCACAAAATGTCTCCAGGCTTTTTTCAAACTTATGGACATGACTAGCAAACCCTTCTCTGATCAATTTCAAAATTCTATCCTGTGCTTCATCTAGTATCTCTTCCTTCAGCGCATCCTGCAGCTTCAAGACCCTGTCCTCTGCTTCATCCAATATATCTTCTTTTAAAGCGTCCTGATGCTTCAAACTGGAAAAAGACTTCTCTAATAGTCCAACATGATACCCAGCATCATCCTTGTAATGCTTTATCAAGAGCTCAAGAGTATCCTGAGCAAATAGGAAAGGACGACATTAGAAAGAGATAGTTGAGGAGATAATGGATTAATTCATTATAAGAGAACTATGTAATGGGAATCTGACGACATAAGAGGCAATCCATGCATTACAGGCTCATTAACAAACTGATACATTATTAGCAAGTATAATGTACATTAGGGAGTTGTCAGTATTATACCTGTACAGTTACACAATAGAACTATGAAGACTAACCTTACGATGGCAACCATATTTGGTAAAGCGGCACTCCCTCTCTTGCAATAAACAGGAGTCTGACAGATGCTCTCCTAACTATAATATCAGATATTATTATAATTGACATTAATAATAGATTCTTTCTTACAATTCTTCTTGGTACTTTAGTACCACAGCCTAAAGAGCAGGGAATAATGTATTCAGGACAATCAGTAGCAAAATGATCCTAGGCATAGAGAATAAAATAATTCATTAAAGATGAAAGTGATTATAAGAAAGGAAATTATGCAGTGCACCAAAACACTGTTACATAATAAACTGTCATTATCACTAACTTCTAATTTAGATAATGGTAGTGACACTTTGCAGAATCGACAGACAGTAGGAGCATGTATACACGTCTCTATGTGGCCAGACATTTCGTCTCTAAGTAACTTTTGGCCACAGCCAATGTGAGGGCAAGTGATAATGGCATAACTACAGGTTGAAATGTGATCCTAAAAGTAAACACAAAACTGAATTAAAAGGAAATCAAAGATTAAGAAAACGTATCATCATGAATAACCACTCCATAGTGCTCAAGAAGCCGTAAAATTGCAAATTATGCAGAATTTCAATTACTGGTAACTACTCGACACTCATTTACTTTGTATTCAACATTGGAGCCGAACCACGGGCACGAGTGGTTGAAGCAAGGGAACGAGGTCCTTTCCAGCTCATTGTTTACAGCCCTGTCCTTAAACAGATCATTGATGTGCGAGTATTGGTCGCATCTCTTGCAGTAATAAAGCTCAGTGTCCGTCCTCTCGAGGAGTGAGCTGAAACACTCTGGACACATCCTACAGCCACAGGTGGTCTGTCTAGCGGGATCAGTTACAGGGTAGCCACAGTTACAGCATATCATCGGTAGAAAATGAGGAACGTTAAGCTTCTCCTTTCCCTCCATCACGATCTCTCACGAGTGACGACTGAGTCAGCAATTATGTGCAAAGCATGGTAAGGCGGGGCTCATGGGTAGGCGTGGTTATTAACCCCGCCCACCAGGGCTTATTCTACGCCCACTCACTCTTGCTACCTTATTATTATTACTTATTATTATTATTATTATTTAAATACAAAAATACAACTATACTACAACTAAAGGAGGGCTCGTTTCACCACTACTCACTCCATTACTGCCATACAAACCAGTGAGCCATCATGCAATTACTTACCATCCAGGAGCAGCTGGTCCAGAGCAGGAGCGGCCTAACTAGTGGGGGAGGGGGGGGGAGAGAGGGGGGAACATGTGAATAAAGTAAATATCACCTGTAGGGGGGCTCCATTCCGCTGAGATTCCGTCCAGATCCAGTCCAGATCCAGCGGGACCTACTAGAGGGTGGGGGGGAGGAGGGGACATGGTGGATTAGTAATATTGCTCCCTTCTCCTCTCCTCACACTCAACTCACGGTGTCTTCATCCTGATCGGCCCAGTCCCCTCCAGAGAGAGTCCTAGAGGAATACAAAAAGAGGAACTAGTAAATGTAATAGAATTAATGAATATCAATAGGGAGGAGTGCTTAATGGCAGTAATGGAGTGAGTAGTGGTGAAACGAGCCCTCCCTTTTAATTAATACTCTTAGCACTTTAAATTAGACATGCAAGGGAATCACATGCAGTAATGATACAGTAATACCATGTACACACTGATGATGATGATGATGATGATGATGAAGGAAGACTTGGTATATTGAAGGAATTACTGTTAACCAATAAGAAGAGATTGTTAAGCATAAACACATATATGTACCTTTACTGCTTTATACATGAAGACAACCTATAGACTGGATAAAATGTCAGTAATTTGTGAAAGACAAAGTTACGAGCAAGTACCAATAAAATAGCAACAAACAAAGCCATTTTTATCCTACAAAATAGAATTAATTACACGAATAGCTAATATCTATACATACGCAATATAATTATGCTCCTCCCACAAAATGCCAGTATGTGAGGTTTAGTTCCTTCCTAATGGAATATGAAGAGAACAAGTGAAGCTACAACTTACAGTGGTGGATACTGAGGCTTTTAAAAATCCTTTTTTCCTATAAAAAAAGAAATTATAAAAATATCAAAAGGCTTACTGTTAAAACTTGAGATCAAGTTCTCCTACAATGAAACAAAGTGAATAAGTGAGGCAAACTTACAGTTTAGACAATGCGACTTTTAAATTTCTCTAAAAGAAAGAAGTTAGAAAAGCAAAAGGTCATACCTGGAGAGAAATAAAAGATGGAAGAAGGAGGAGGAGTCCCTTTGAAGACTCAAATCTCCCGCCAAGGCGCCAAATATCTTGTCTGCCACGTGGGTGGAAGAAAGAATCCGGGAGTATCCAAAAGTAAAAATTAGGGGAGGAGCTTAGAAAGAATTAGGCGCAGCGAAAAACCTTTAGAAACTCGTAGAAACCCAAAGAGAGCGTAATGAGTGGTGGTGTTTATGGTGGAGGTATATTTTTAGATATTATATCCTTTTATTTCTCTTGTTTCTAGATGAGGTCGGGGCTCTTGTCTTTGACATTGGGAGCTGTACTTCCAGGGTAGGATATGCTGGGGAAGACTGCCCTAAGGTTAGGATTTATTGTTAATTATTGTATTAATTTAATGCATAAATATTTGTATTGCAATTTTAATTTTTTACTGATAATTAATTGTTAATAATAATTATTGATATTTTTACAGGCGGACATACCAACAGTGATAGGGGTGGGGCCAGGAGAAGACACGCCCATGGACACTGAGGACTCTGAGGCTCCAATAAAACCGGCTCCTTCCAATAAATATTATATTGACACTACAGTCATTGGACGACCAAGGGAAGGAGTTGAAATGAAGACGCCATTGAAAGACGGGATCAGTAACGGAACCACTGCACTGAATGTATTAATCTCTATCTTTTCATTTAGTTAAAGATTGGGAGTTATATCAACAGTTGATTAATCATTTGTATACGAAACACATTAAGACTGACTCTGATCTTCATCCAGTACTGATGACAGAACCAACCGTGGGTTACTGTGTCACATGACTAGACTTACCTATTACCTCTCCTCCTCCCTCCCCCCTCTCTCTCTCTCTCTCTTTCTCTCTCTCTCTCTCTCTCTCTCTCTCCCTCCCCCCCTCTCTCTCTCTCTAGTGGAATACGAAAAGTGACAGAGAAAAGTTAACTGAGCTGATGTTTGAAACGTATAAAGTTCCCGCCTTTTTCTTATCAAAGACAGCTGTATTATCAGCGTAAGTTACATGTGTTGTTATTATTATTGTTATTGGTAACTCTATTAGGTTTGCTAATGGTCGTTCAACAGCATTAGTTATTGATTCTGGAGCCAATCAAACCTCAGCTGTACCCGTACATGATGGGTACGCCTTATCCTCAGGTAATTAATTAATAATAAATTCAAATTCAACCTTTTCTCTTTCTCTATAGCTACAACAAGGACTCCTCTTGCTGGTGACTTTATAACTGCACAGTGTCGGTTAGTTAATTAACTATTATTAATAACTAGTTGATAGTTAATTAGTGGGTTCCTTGATGAACAGAAGATAGAAGTGGTCCCTCATTACCTGGTGGCTTCTAAGGAGCCAGTGAAGGAAAGAGCACCTGCTAATTACGTTAAGAAGAAAGTTCCGGAAGTAACCACTTCATTTCATGAGTACATGGTCAAGGTATGACAAAAGGAAAAAGAATTCTATTTTTGGAATGTCCTTTTACTTTTAGAAAGTTATTTCTGATTTTCAAGCCTCTATATGTCAAGTCTCTACATCATCACTTAGAGATGAGTAAGTTAATATCTCTCATATTATTAACCTAGCTTGAACCCAGCTCATTAAATTAAATGGAACTCTTTTAGTCCATTTGTCAAGCATGATTGATTCTTTACTTGCCTAGCCTGTTAGATATGTTGTAGTTTTATCAGCAGCTGGTAGTTGTTGTTTTCAAATGTCATGATAGAAGCTGGTTATCCCAAAGAAACAACCTCTACCCCAGTGGGTATATAACCTATACTAATAATAATAGGATTGAAACCAGCACCAGCATTCCGACTACACTGTATGAGTTCCCCAATGGCTATAACATCAACCTCACTGTTGAAAAATTCAAATTAACTGAAGGACTATTTGATTCATCAACTGGGCATGTCAAGGTAGTTATTAATAGTTATTAATAGTTATTGTTAGTTATTAATAGGGTATCAGTGGAGGTAACCTATTGTCTATTCCTAATGTCGCTCTTCATTCAGCCTCAGTTTGTGACTCAGAGATCAAACCAGTTAAGTACATGTACATGTATATACATTACCCCCCCTCTCTCTCCAGGCGCTGTATGGTAGTGTGGTGGTTGTTGGTGGTAACTCATTATTGAATGGATTCACAGAGAGACTCAACAGAGACTTAACTACTAAAACACCACAAGTACTAACAAACCACTCCTCCTCCTCCCCCCCTCTCTCCCTTTCATTCATTATTGTCTCTATAGAGTGTTAGGATTAAAATGGTTCAGAATGTCTCTACAGTTGAGCGTAAGTTCAGCAGCTGGATAGGAGGCTCAATACTGGCTTCATTGGTACACATTTAACACTACACTATAGTAATAATATTTTTAATTCTTTATGAATAGGGTACGTTTCAGCAGATGTGGATTTCAAAACAAGAATATGAAGAAACTGGAAAATCCGTTGTGCAAAAGAAATGTCCATAAATAAAATACTGTTTAATTATTACGTCACTAATAAAGTTATTAAGTAACGAGACGTCACCACTAGTTAATAGTAGTTATTAATTACAAAATGGTGATTTCAAAAGGCCTTTTTCTGTTCTTTGCCTTCATGGGGCTGGTGATAGCAGTTACTGTATACATTAGTAAGCAGCCAGGAGGTTATATAACCACACAGAGCGGGTCGGTTTGCTCCTGGAGGACTGATGGAGACCCCAGCACCGAGAGAGGGTTCATACTGGACTGTACCTGCCCCAATGGACTCGAGTACAGCTGCAGGTATCAGGCAAGACCTGATGAGGACTGCCCCAAGTTCTGGAAGAACTTACTCCCGTACTTTAAAAACCTTACGACTAGTGTAGCAAGTAAGAGATGGGTAATGGGTAATTAAGAGTGGGCGTGGGTTATGTAATTAATTAATTTTTATTAGGTGATGGTCATGGTTGTGATTCCGAGTTTCATAAAGTTTCTTTTTGTCCGGAAGATTTTAAAGTTCGGAGGATTGGAGGGCCCACACCACATAACTGCGAATAAATAATTAAAACATAAAAGAATATTAATTAATAGATTCCGAGATTGATAATTTTAAATTTTACTATTATTATTATTATTATTTTAGAGTTTATACAATTTGATTTTCATGAATATTAATCAAAATAGAAAAGATTCACACTATTACTAATATCAATTAATTAATTAATATAATAATAATAAGACGAGAGAGAGTGCGAGCTGACAAAATATGAATTTTTGTGTTTATGTATCCTTGTCCCTCTCAAACTATCAATCTCTTTAAGGCTCAGCATCGCTACCAGCTGCATTATAACTTGATTTAGGTTCTTCGGTAATCACGGCTCCCTGATCATCCTCTTCCCCAAACACGAACTCCTCTGGATAGCCGTGGGTCTGTCTATCAGGAGCAAACAGGCCACAGCAACAGTTGCAGCAGCAGCAACAACAGAAGAAACAACAGAAGCAGCAACCAGTTGCCAGACACGTGAAAACAACACAACACTAAAGAGAGAGGGAGAGAGAAGGAGTGAGTTACTGACTTAAACCTGGCCTCCAGGATTAGACAAGCAGAAATGTGCTAAGGACATGCTCTTTTGTCATCAACATGTTGAATGATATTGGACCACATTTCTGATTGTTTATCAAGTTTAATGTCAAGTACCTTACTTGCCCCAAATTAACGGTACTAGCCCCAATTAATGCACCTCTCCATAAATTATTCCATGTCTCAGGTGGTGAATTGTTTAAATAGGAACAATATTATGAAATGTTCCAAGGTGCTTAGCTACAGTAAGAGGTGCAATAATTAGGAAGGTCCATTAATTGGGGTGAGTATAGTAGGTATAATGGATAGAGAGAAAGAGAGCCACTTACTTTTAATAATTTACTGTCCATGTATGCAAATCTCTACAAAATAGATATGAAACACAAATAATAATAATAATAATAATAATAATAATAATAATAATAAAATAACTGACCTCTTCTCCAACTTGCTCAGCTAGTTTGAGACCCATTGGTCCATACTCGTCATAAATACGTCTTTTCCTCTCGTCTCCAAGAACCGCATGAGCGTTATTGATATTCTGAAACTATTGGGAAAAGGATAATTAATATGTGCATTAAACATTGTAAATTGTAGAAACTCTGAGCTAATTCTTACATTACATTAATATGCTGTTCCTTGCTGTACGTTAGGTGAATGTGTAATGGAATGTGTATAAGGTTCTTACGATATCATTGGCCTCAGGGTCAGGGTTCTTATCAGGATGATACTTAAGTGCTAGTTTACGATAAGCCTTCCTAATCTCTTCTTGAGTAGCAGTCTTATTGACACCCAACACATCATAAAGTGAAGCACTGGATAACAACACAATTAGTATATGATACACTGTTTATAGTCCTTGAATCCTTACCTAGGTGCAGTAGTTGAGTCTGAGAATCTCTCGTGATTATCCATAGTCTCCCCTCTCTGGGTCGCAGAGCTCCGCTCTCCCTTGCTGTTCCCTTTCCTTTGATCCCTTGTGGAAGAAAGCAACTAATAATGGTAGACTGGGGCGCCGGGCCCTGCCCTTTACCCCACCCATTCAAAAGGTACTTATTAATTAAAGTTAAATAACCAAATTTTAATATCAAAATGGTGTCTGGCTTGAGGTGACCACATGTGTGACGATAAAATGGCATCTGAACTGATAGAAGAGAACAAGGTAGTCCTGCTACACGTTAAAGATATATACAAACCAATCCGGCTGGTCAAACGAAGGTAGAGCCACAATAAAGGACTGGATTGGGTTATTTTATTAATTAGGAAAATTAAATTTGACAAGATATCATTTGTACCTGATGCTGCCATTGGCCTTCCTTATGGCAGCGAGTTTGAAGTAGCACGGGGCAACCTGATACTGGTGAAGGAGGAGGAGCGGAGAGGAGAAGAAGGAACAATATCACAACTGACAGAGGTGGCAGTAATAATAATAATAATAATAATAATAATAATGATAATAATAATAATAATAAATATTAGGTAGTTGAATCTGCTAAGGATAACAGGTTGATTGTTGATGATGGTTTGTCACAGAAACTGTCTCATGAGGAAATTCATCAAATGAAAAAGGATGGAATGAGCGGTCAGGTAATATTCATTAGGGGGCCGGGGCAAGGGGCAATAATAATAATTATTATTTTAGGAAATATTGGAGTCAGTTGTACAGGGTAGTTCATCTTTTAAAGATCGAACAAAATTCTCTCAAGAAAAGTATGTCAAGAAGAAATATAAGAGGTATGTCATTTTCTGATACATTATCATTATTATTATTACTATTATTGTTGTTATTGTTGTTGTTGTTGTTGTTTAGACACAGTCATGTTTTGAGTATCATTAAACCAACCACTCGTCTTATTGCGCAATACTATTATGCCAAAGGTCCTTCAAAAATATGGTGAGTACCCCTCCTCCGTTGCCATGGTTACTCGTAGTCCCAGTCACCTCAGACTGGACATGTTATCCCAAATACTGACCCTCGGGAACGTACACGCCCACTCAAGGATCGTCGTCATGGAAACGTGTCAAGGCCTCCTGACAGGAGCAGTTCTGGAAAGACTTGGAGGTGTGGCAATAATTAATAATTGATTAATAATTAATTGATATTAGGGTGTGGTCAAGTTGTTCAAGTGTTTTTCGGAGACAAGCCAGTGAGGTCTGGATTAAAGTTATATTATTATTATTATTATTATTATTATTGTATTATAACAAAAGAACAATTATTACGTATTGACAAAAATACAAATGTGGGATAGGTTAGAGATAGGGAAGAAAAATAATGATAGTATATAGTACTGGTAATAATGAGAAAGAAAGAAAGGAGAGAAAGAGAGAGAGAGAGGGGGGGGGGAGAGTGTGGGAAGTGAACAATAAGAACAAGGTAATAAGTTGAGAACAAAGGATATGTTAAATAATAAAATCATTGATGCCATAACCATCCTCTATGCCAATATCTCTCCACTTTGTTATTATTATTATTATTATTATTATTATTATTATTATTATTTATTATTATTATTCCAGAGATGCTTTAGATGTCTTTGCTCACCTGAGTGAGAGAGAGAGGTCGGTCTTGCTTGAGTACCCACTCCACAGGCTGGGCCAGTTGCTGACTGGAGAGGGAGGGAAAGAGATTGAGCTACAGCTGCCACCTGGAGCACCACTAGAGGATGATACTGAAAACAATGAAGGATCATCAACCAGAGGAGAGGATATCAGAGAGGAAGATGATGATGAGTTTGAGGATGAAGAGGAAGAATGTGGAGCTGCTAAGAAAAGACGCATCGAAGAAGAACCAGCTGGACCTTTACCACTGGCTCCTACTAATGAGGATGAGGTATGGCAGTGCTCACCTTCCTGTCAGTTAATTTTCTAAGTTGCTCAGAAATCAGGCCAAAGTCCCTGTACTATAGTACAGGGACTTTGGCCAAATTTTGCCAAAAATGACTAGGAGAGGATTCTGCATTTTTGTTACATTTTCTGATATATATACATGTTCTTATGTTGTGTAGAAAGTGTGAGGGGAATCTGATCAAAGTTAGATTTTTAACGAATTTTTAAAGTTGCCCCCAAAGTGGTATGCCATTATTGTAGTTTTGTTATTAGGAGAAGGAGAGGAGGAGGAGGGAGAGGGAACTCCTGTATGAAGGAGCAGCTGCTGTTCTGAATGAGAGGAACATGGACGGGTCAGTTTATTAATTAATTATAATTTTATTTATTTATCCTCAGGCTGTTAATAGCTTGCAGGTTTTATCCTGAACCTATTTTAATGTCTTTAATTAATTTCATTGGTCCTTCTCGACCAGTCGTAGTGTATAGTCAGTTTCAAGAGGTAATTGATAATAATAATAATAATAATAATAATAATAATAATAATAATAATAATAATAATAATAATAATAACAACAACAAATAGCACTGCAATATGATCAATTTTATTTTGTCAGCCGTTGGTTCGGTGTTACCAGAAGCTTAAGGAAAGTGAAAGCGGAACTGCTTTCAACATTCAACTGTCAGAAACATGGCTAAGGCACTATCAGGTGTAGTAACTGTAACTAACATGTTCATTTATTTAATTTTATTTATTAATTATATAATAGGTATTATCTGGTAGGACTCACCCAGCTGTCAGTATGGATGGTCAAAGTGGATATTTACTTTATTTTACAACTATCTCAAATATTAATTAAAATGGTGATATTAAAGTTTTATTTTTTTCTTTACATATTTTTCAACTAAAATTATTATTATTATTATTTATTATTATTATTATTATTATTATTATTATTGTTATTTTTTGAAAACAGCAATAACAATAAAATAATTTTATATAATTATTTATTTATTGTTGGTAGGTATTTATTTATTTATTGCAATGTTAAATAATTATAATTAACCAATTCTTTTTTCATTAATAACTTGTTTATTTGAGCATGCCTAGAAATAATTCCCTGGAAATTCCAACCATCAAATCAATCAATCAATACAATCATGGCGGGAAGCTGGACAGCTGTAGTGACTAGTGAGTGTATATCTATGGCTGTTTGGAGGTATTTTATCAATCTAGAGATACTGAATGCATCCTATTCTGATAATCTTTTAGGTTTCTAAACCTTTCTCTGTTTCCTGTAGATAGTAAAAGTATTTGATAAGTAGACAGTGAAACCAGTTAGATCATACTGGCAATGAAGGAAAGATTGTGAAAGTCAGTTTCCCTTTGTAATTACTTATCATTACTGATATGGTAGGTGGGGCTTTACCCCTTTAATAATTTAGAGGAAGCTATAATCAATAATAATTAAAAGGTATTCCATTATTATTATTATTATTATTTAATGCAATACGTATTGAAATATTATTGCCAAGAGTGGATATCCACTCTTGTTACTGCGTATTTGAAAATAATGCAACGTTTTGGATGATAATTACTTTTAAAATTCCCAGTAGATTTTATAAGTAATTCAGTTTCTTTTTGGCAAATCAAAATAAATAATATTACACAAGTGCAGCTGGTTCCCACAAACTTCATGAGCTGACAAGCACTACAATCCAGTATATAGCATTTGGAACAACTTTAAGAAATTGTAAAAAAAATTAAATTTGATTAAAATCAACTCAAAATTTCTACACAACATGAGAACGTGTATATGTATCAGAAAAATTATAAAAATTGAAAATTCTCTCCTAGCAATTTTTGACAAAATACCACCCCGTACAGGTTATTTTGTCAAATTGGAGCAACTTTATTAATTCATAAAAGAGCACTACACCAAACCTTGCTACCTTTATCCCTCTTATTCAACTAATTCTCTCTGTGTCTTTAACTTACAGAAACTATCAACACTATGTCAGTAATGTGTACGTGTACTGGTACAATTGCTGTTTTTGTTAGTATCAACAATCGTAAGGTTTTGGGAAGATCTCACTGTTGCTTTATGATTGACCACATTCCATACACAGTCTCCATATACTCTCATACTGGGACTGTACTCTTATTATCTATTATTGAGATTTCACTGAAACTGGCGGGATCCTTTCTGTTTTTGCAGCTGCACTTCATACCACTGGTTGAGTCTCTCCACAATAGAGGGGCTGTAGTCTCTTGTGGTCATCAGATTCAATTACCACTCCATCTTTATCGGATTATAGTTCTTCTAATGATACTCAGAAATTCTTTTAATCCATTAAATGTAATGTAGATAAAAATGAATTCTTTTATCAGTAATAATATGACTACATGTATTGATACATATGCCCTAAATCTATTGCTGTATAAATCAAGTATTGTTTTTCAATGTTCTTTATATAGAGTATGAATACCTTGTGTGACATTTTCTGACATTATGAAGAGCTACATGTACATATATGTACATGTACATGTACATATATGTACATGTACATGTATATATCTTAAACCCAGCTGCTATTCATTGTGTTGTTCATTGTTGATGGGGTCCTTTGGTTCTGTAGTACACATTGGCAAACAGTTTAACCACTACACATTATGATACTCTATGGATCTCACTGTACCTTTATTGATGCATGTACATGTACATGTATGGATCTGTAGCTGTACAAGTATCAATGTCATTGTTTCCTTGGTGGTCAGACTGTCTGGCTCTATTAGTAGTACATTGTACTATTGGCATGTCTAGCTAAACACTAGCTGCTAGTAAACATTATCATTATTATGATCCCTTTGGAACTCCATGTACAGGTGCTGGGGATTCACTTTTAGTTGAATGATTTGGAGCTTTACCAAGTGTTTATGGCTATACTCGTATGTTAATCATTATTCTTATTTTCCTTTATTTTTTGGCAGTCGTTTCAATTGTTTTTGTTTTTTATTGCCGTCCAACTTTTCTGGGAAGACGATTTTGAAATGAATTAATACAAAGAATAATGTTTAATGAATATAATATGAAGCAATCCTTTACAAGAGGGGATGATGAGAGTGGCTATTGAGTCATTGTTGGTTTCAGGGAAGGAGAGGGAACTGATTGCTGGTTGCAGCTGTCCTTGTGTCATTAGAATATGTGGTAATATCCTCTCTCTATTGTAATGTGGTTTCCCTCTTTATGACACATGTACATGTACATGCACATACATGGTTCATTGCTGATGTACTACCTGTCCTGTAGTTACAGCATGTTACAGCAATAAAAGTGATGTCATTGTTTTATTTGTACTGGCAGTGTAACTGTTTTTGATGTTTTTAACTAATTTCCTAATTCACTAACAATCCATTACTACTTCTAAAGGATATCATTCAGTTGTCAGTCTAGTATATGATGCATATGTACTAGTTAATGTGATACATGATACATGTTGGTAGTTAATGTAATACATGATACATGTTGGTAGTTAATGTGGTACATGATGCTTGTTGGTAGTTACCATACATGTGTTACTCCTCTAGTCCTGTGTCCGTGTACTTGGTATGTCACTAATTGCGTCATAAAGTCTTCCCACAGTGTCAGTCTGTTGCTCTAGGTATTCATCAGATACCCTATTAGGTCACTGTATCTTCCTCTCGTGTGGTCTCTGAGGTCTCCACTGGCACTCTTTTAAGGTATCAATGGTTGCCAGTTGGAATGTGGCGCTACTGCAGACCTATTTAATTTTATAATTTTAAAGTTTTAATTTTCCTATTTTTATAAATGGGATATACCCAGAGAGTGTTATATAATACTGTAATTAATATAAGTAATTAATACGAGTGTACAGGTAATTCAATAGTAATCAAATATTATCAGTATAATGTTATATTATACTTGTGCTCTCCCTCTCTCTCTCTCTCTCTCTCTCTCTCTCTCTCTCTCTCTCTCTCTCCCTCTCTCTCTCTCTCTCTCTCTCTCTCTCTCTCTCTCTCTCTCTCTGTATTCATTTCCTACATTTATTTTCTCAGAATTATTACTATGGATATACAAATGAGGAGGAAATAGGAAAACCATTTAATGAAGGACAGTCTGTCCTCTGCAGGTCATCTACTTGGGTCAATCAATGGTGCAGTCAATAATATCCTATTACGCGTACAGTATAGCCTCTTTATAATGGACACTCTCTATAGCATACACCTCCATTTAACAGACAGCACCTAGTGTACCAATTACATTCCTTACTGTATAGAATAACCTCCACATAAAGGACACCTCTGTATAACAGAGACACTTTCTTGTACCAAAGTGTCCATTATTTAAACCATCCTATAATGGAATTATTATTATTATTTATTATTATTATGACAGTGTTTATTTATTATGTTATATTCCATTGATTACGTCACACACCCACACACACATACATGTACATGTACATATATTTTACAATAATTATATTTTGATTATTTATTAATTGAGTTCATTATTGGAGCATGTGTACATCATGTGCCATCTTCACTCATCCATTAACATCCAATACAAATGAGTACATACGGTATGTACCTGTATTATTTATTATTTATTTATTATTTATTTATTATTATAAATTAAAGTTGCTCAATTTAAGCAGCTGTATATTGTTAACAGTTTATAAAAGTACAGAAATGTTAACCACATTGTGTCCAACCCATGATAGCCTTTTACAATTAGTTGAGTATAAAACGAACAGTCTCTCCTGCCTATCTTAGGGTAATTATATTGGTAATAGATAATACAGAAAAATTTTTTGGAAGGGTTTATGAACCCTGCACTACATTAATATAAATAGTTAAGTGTGTGTGAGTGTGAGTGTGTGTGTGTGTGTAGTCAGTGAATGTTTGTCTGTTTTGTGGCTTCATTATTTCCAAAGCAGCTGTCGTATACACACATACTCTTTATTACATGCACATGTATAGTCCTTGTATTATTGTACTAGCTCCTATACTCCAGTGTATTATTATTACATTATTATCATTGGAGTACATGTATCTTAGCTGTAGTCATGTTTACTACACTGGGTCTATCAGTAACATTATCTTTAGTCTTTTCTCTCATGCTCTTGATCTTGATGCTGCTCTGCTGCTGTATTGTCTTGTGCTGTTGTAATATTATTGTTTGGAAGTTAGTATTTACGTTGAATAAAAACATTACATAGTGTATACCTCCATTTAACGGACAGCACCTAGTGTACCAATTACAATTCTTACTGTATAAAATAACCTCCACCATAAAGGACACCTCTGTATAACAGAGACTTTCAAGTGTCCAAGGCCACAGTCTGTACATGTTAATTATATTCAAGTGTATTTTGTTTTTCTTAGAATATCAAGTGACAATTATTAGGAATACTCCAATAACTGTATACCAGTCACTCAGTCTAGATCTGCTATGGGATGTACTTATAAAAATATCTTTAATTATTTTTATTACTAGTTAAAGTAATCGCCTGTGGCCACATAAAACTATCTGTCCAACTGTATCTCAGTAACTGTATTGTGTGTTTTTGAATAGTTGAAGTGCCGTCAATCTTGCTTATTATTCATTCTCTGTGTATGTTAGGAGGTGTATTGGAGGAAAGATAAATATAGCTTTTAGACATAAATATATGAAGGATATTTATTGTTGAATATACTATAGCAACTGTTATAATGTAAATTATATATTATTGACTCCTTCCTTGTTCTCTCTCTCTCTCTCATATAACTACATTACAGTGTGTCTTATGGGAATTGGACAGCTGCAGTAAATTGCGCCATTTTATTCAATGCACCTGTACATCTTATACCTTACCTCACCAACTTTATAATCTTAGTATACAGTACACTCCATGTTAATCCTATACATTATATAGCGTGTGTGTCTGTGTGGCCCCTTGGGAAAGGATATGGTTTGGTTTTGGTATTATGTCCATCAGGTTTGTTCTGTTGTGTATTTGTGGTAATGCACACGGACCATATGTACATGTACTATTATCTGACGTAGTCAAGTGAGTCTCCACTTTATACCTCATATCATATTCTAATACCCAGATCATGTCTCACCTTCCTATATACCAGCCATTAGGAAACACACACTCTCTCTCTCTCTCTCCCTCTCTCTCTTTGACCCTATTATTACTAAACCACAGTACTGGTACAGTCCAGCTGTTCCTACTGGATAAAGCATTACTCCTGTAGCCTGTTATGTCTTCTATTGATCTCCTATCCTTTGATGGGCCATTACTCCAGTATAATAATGTTTTATTGTTCTATTCAGCTTCTTGATAATGGCTCTTCTGATCTAATCTCCTATAACTACTCTATATCTTTCTCTGCTTAGGATCCTTATTAATACCTTTAGCTCTTTGTTTATAGCTGGATCTGTTTATCTGTCTATTTGACATATCGTGTTTACATGTCCCAGCGGTTTGTTTACAGTTATTTTAAGTTAAATTGAAGGCATACACTCTCCTTTGTTTACTAGTGCTATAGATGGAGCACTCCATATCCTTTCTCTTCTTCTTAATTATCCATGGCAGTGTACTATTATGATAGCACTGGGAGTAGTCTCTGGACTAACTAGTAACAATCATGTTAGTTTCTTGTAGTGTGGTATACATTTAGTGTTATAAACTGCTCTGAGATAGGGAGGGGGAAGGAGAGGGAGGGAGATCATGTACCCATTACATGGTACAATATGGGGATTAATGTAGATCAATTCTCAACATACACGTATCTCTGTTCTTATCAATACTCTGTGTGATTTATTTTGATGTACTAGGCCACATCAGAGCTCGTCCTTTCATAACAATATACATTACCATATTAATGCACACAGAGCCACTAGAGAGCTTATACTGATGGATAAGGAGTGATACAGATATACTGTGTATATGGCATTAGTAGAGTATGTGTGTATAGTGTTAGTACATGGGATGTATCTATTATGATAATCCCATCACTGGATGGTAGTAGTAAATTCAAGAGTGGATCATGTATGGAATGTTTTGTCTTTGAAACTGTAATAATAACAATTAGTACCTCCAATGTATAGCAACTTTCATTATTATTATTAATTTTATTTTATTTATTTATTCATTTTATATTTATTTATTAATTTTTGTCATATATGGTTGCAATGATATTGGCACGTTGTCAATATTTTTTATTTTATTTATTTTTAATTTTTGATATAAAAGGATTGTGATATTTAAACAGTTGTCTGTTCTAGTCCTTTTATCTTACATTCTGATCCTGTACTGGACTCTTTGATGCTTTATAATCACTTTGTAATATACATGTAACTCTTCTACCCCTGTCTCCTCTCTGTCTCACACTCCACATTAATAAATAATAATAATAGTAACTAATAAAAGCATAGCCTCTTTATAGGGCCCACACTACCTGTCCTTAATACAGAGGTGTCCTCATTCAGAGGTACTTTTGTATAGGCTTGTACCAATTGGTACATTACAAAATGTCCTCATTATAAAGGTGTCCTCATTATAAAGGTGTCCTCATTATAAAGGTGTCTTTAGTGTAATTATTATTTATGCAGTATCATTACATGTGAGACTATGATCTCATTAATCATGCAGTGGGAAATACTGTCAGCTAGTTATTCTAGAGTCTGACTCTGCTAGTGTACGTCCTGTTATTACAGACTCTCTTGGTTTGTGTTGTAGTCTATAGTCAAAGACCTTAGACACTACCTGAAACAACATCTATTAGTAAGGAATGTACATGTAACACCCTCTGACCCACCCTCTACCTTTGACTCTCTACATGTAAACAACACTACTACTACTGGCCTGTGCTTGTATGGTATATGAGGAGTGTGTGTGTGTGTGTGTGTGTATTATTATGATAAATGGTTTGTGTGTTTTGTGATGAACTTTTGTACCTTTAAAAGAAGAAGGGGATCTTTTGACAGTTTCCTGTTATTTTAAGAAAAGGAAAGAAAGAGAGAAAGAAAGATTATTTTAAAGATAGCCTCCTTATAATGGACACTCTCTATAGCATACACCTCCATTTAACGGACAACACCTAGTGTACTAATTCCTTACTGTATAAAATAATATAAAGGACACTTCTGTATAACAGAGACACTTTCAAAGTGTCCATTATAGCAAAGCTATTGTGTATTTTCATGAGCTGTGCATCAGCTATTAATGTTTTTGGCATTCACTCTTGTATAGGTTTGGCTGTCATGGGAATGACAACTGTAACCATGGTAACGGACCCCTTGGGCCCCCAGCATATTGTGGTCAGGGAGAGACAGTCCCTCCTCCTTATCTGATTAAAATTAATAACAAATAATAATTGTTAAACCAGAGGAATTATTATGATGATGTGATGGTCTCGCGTTAGGAAGTTTGTTTAATTCATTTGGCTATCACTGAGACTATGTTTGTATATAAAGGAGTAATGTCATTATTAATTATTATCATTAACTATTTTAATAAGAATTGTAGCACAAAGGATATGCTCCATAACTTGACAAGTTTCAGTCGGAATAATCCGCTCAAACTTTTTTGTCAATATCTATCAGAAAGATTTGGGGGGATTTTGGAATTTTAATTTTTAGAATGACTATAACTCGAAAAATTGAAGTCAGAATCAGTTTATACTTTCTACATAGCATAAGTACATCAATATGTATCAGAAAATGTAATAAAAATTGAGGGTCATTTCGAAGCCATTTTTTGAAAAAAACCATGGTATAGCCTTGGGTATTTTTCAGAAAATAGCTCATTTAAAAAATGCTTATAACTTTAAAAGTTTAAGTCGGAATCAGCTCAAACTTTCTACATAGCATAAGGACATCAATATGTATCAGAAAATGTAATAAAAATTTGGAATGTTTTTGGAGCCATTTTTCAGGAAAAAACCATGGGCTACTTTTTTAGGATTGAATTTATGATAGGAGGAGGTATTAGAAGAGTGTTGTTGTGAATCTGAACAGTGTGTGTATATTGGAGCAGTATAAGGTATACATTTAGCACCTGCATACTTAAAAGAAATGAGAAGTTAATAAAACAACTGCACTTCAACCTTTGGCTTCCTCAAATAAATAGAATAAAATGTTCCCATTTTCTAGAGGCTATACGAGGGTGTGTTTGTGTTATTTCAGTTAAGTGGTGGTACAGACGCCAGAGGCAACACCAAAGGAGGAGAGAGAGAGTGAGAAGAGTCATCTCACCACAAACCAGCAGTTTGCACATTAGAAGGAGCCACTCCCTCTTTATAATTGGAATATCAGCCCCGCCTACCTAAACTCACCCCCGCACACGGGGGCACCAGCCAGGGCATTATATAATCTATCCTTTTCCAGTGTAGTGTACTTACTTGTCTTTGCATAGTGTAGCTGCTGGGGTAGGTCTTAATACTAGAAACTAGTGCTGTATTTGAGCCCTCTGTCTCTCCATTCACCCATTTCCCAGTGTTTGTCTGATACAAAGACTCTCTTTCGCCGACCTTGTCCTGTTCCGTCCCCCGGCTCGCAGAGACAACTACTCTTTTGTTCATTGAGCAGTTTATTCAAAAAAGGAGTATTTGCTGGAGCTAAAGTCCCAGCGGCTTGTAACTGTATAGCAGCCCTCGAGCTAAACAAGGTAAGGAGAGCGGGCCGTGTGTCCACTGTCAAAGGGGAGGGAGGGATGACAGTTATTGAGTGAGTCCAACTAGCGATAAGTGGTTCTAGCTCCGGTATCCATTGCACTTGTGACCTGATTCCATTTCCTCTTTCCCTCTCTCTCTCTCTTTCTCTCAGTACTTGTTCTTTATTTGTTTGTACATTGTGTTTTGTTGTCTTTGTGGCCATTAAACTTGTCAGCTCATTCATTTACCCTTACTTCTTTCTCTCTCTCACACACACAGCAAATGGCTGCACAATATGACTCTAAAAGTCTTGATAGACCAAATCGAAAGATAAAAAGACAATCAACACGTAGAAAGAAGAAAGACCCAGTCCCCGAGCGGGCTGGGGGCAGTATGGAAGAACTCAACATCATTGGTACTAAAGTTAGCGAGATACCCTCTGAGTTCTTGGTCAGTTTGGATCCATCGTTCTTCTCACTCGGTACTCAAGTAATGGACATACCTGTTGTACAAAATGGAGACACAGACCAAGAGTATTTGAGTAGAGTCGAAGGTAAAGTGATAAGAGAAGCTAATCGCCGCTTGAGTAAAAGAAAGAACAATCACCACTCACCACAACACGTCGAGCCAGCCATTACATTTAGTCCAGACACCACTTCTCCTCTCCCTCCACCCATTGCTAGTCACCATACGACCAGTCAACTTGACACTGCTGTAGATGATGAAACTGACTCAGAGGAAAAGAAAGAAGGTAGATCCTCTGTGCATTTGTCAAGCAAAACATTACTCCATCTTTATCCTCCTTCTTCAGGGCTTCAAAGACTATCCGCTGATTCTGGTATCGCTATTCAAGATATTAACGAGATAGCTTCTCACGGGAACGCAACGGAAAACACTCTCACTGACACGCCCCCCAGAGGCACCACCGAGTTGCCTAGCAACCATCTCCTCCCCCCGGTTGGCAGGAGAAATAATAAATTCGATTCTTTAAAGTTTGGAACTAAAAAGGCTCGGGATTCTATGCTTCTTTCTCAACTGTGTGTTGTTGTGGTAACGCTCCCGGCTGATGTACAGCAAGGGCAGAAAGGACGTGGTGCAGTTTTGAAATTTCGTTTTTCGCCGTACACTCAAATAGAGACGCTGAGGGTAGCCATTTTAAAAGTAAGTACAACAACTTAAAATATTTAAAATATGCAGTAAATCATGAAACATAATAATATTTCCTTGCTAATTATAATTCCAGTTTTTAGCAGTTATTATAGAAGTTACTCTAATATCTCTTTCATTTATAATTATTACAATAACTGCCAACTGCTTGGTAGCCTGGCAGCATAGTGTGGCCTCACTTAAGCTATCAACACTTTGGATAATATTATATTTATAACAACTGTTCCTACATTATGATATATGATACAGGGTAGGCCCTCTAAGCCTCTGTAATTCTAAAGAATGCTTTGACCTGCAACTGTACATGTATGTCTGTTCATACCTTTTATTTATAAAAACAGCTTCATGTACAGTACATTATTATTATAGTCTTTGATTTCTAAAAACATGCTTTCCCCGTCCTTGCCTGTATGATGTGGATCATGTACAGGTACATGTATCGTGTACTGTGTGTGTGTGTGTGTTCATGTTGTTTTGAAAGTGTTTGGTAAACAGTAGAAAGAGTTCAAATGGTTGGTATGGAAGTTAAGTCAACACTGATCAATATATCTCCTGTTTGTGTTATTCCTTTCTCCTCTCTCTCTCCCACGCTTATTACTGAGAGAGAGACAGAGAGACAGAGAGAGTGTGATCATGATGGTTGTGGTGTGAGATTATTTGCTCTCTAATCCAGTTAATGGTGTCTGGTGGAGCAGCTGTGTTATGCTTTGAAGTTCCCTCTCTCTCCTTCTTTGTAATAATTTATGTCAGTTCTGGCACATTTTTAAAAATCCACTCCTAATTTAAATGATCCAGTATAGTTCCATTACTACGTTATTATTAATAACTTGTAACTGCATGGCCTTAATCATATTCTGTTGTTGAGTGGTTGTTGTTGATGAAGGGTACAGTATGTTATGATTGTACTTTTATGTTCATTATATATTAACTCATAATATACCCTAGCTGGACCAGTGTGTGCCTCTACATTGCATCATCACATTAATCTAATTTACCTTTTAAGAGTCAGTGATATATATTTAATAAAGAGCTCACTCTATGAAAGGACAATCTTAGTTCATATAAGTATGTACAGTGTATGTACTGTAATCTGATCTGTGGTGGTCCAGCATTGCTCCACTGTACATTGCATGTGATTGTGTATTTCTAGCTAAAGGAAGTGGTTTATGATAAAAGCTTACTATGCCTTTTGGCTGTACCTTTACTAATGTTATGTAAATATGTTATATAATGTCACTTCTTCTTTCTTTGTAGCAATTTCATGAGAGATTTGACGTATCTGTGGATAATTTATCTAAACTTCATCTTTGTCGATATTTGGAGGTGAGAAAGGGAGGGAGGGAGGGAGAGGTTTGAAATTCCAAATATGTTCAGTGGTATGTATCCATTATATTGGCCCTGAACCTGACACTAATTTAATGGTTTGTTAACTTGAGAATGTAAAAATGAACATACATGTATGTGTCAAAATATTCATTATATTTAATAGTTAATATTCCTGAGTAATAAATTAGCAAATTAATTATTATTTTATTATTATTATTAATGTATGGTTATAGAATATATACATGTACCCCCAGAGATTCTTTATTGAATATTAAACACAGGGGGGTGGGGGGCAGAGTGGAGATAAAGGCTGTGTTACAGTCGGATGAATGAACCTCATATTGTGTAAACATTGCCTGTCATTGACTGATGGCCATAATTGGGTATTTAAAACAAGAGGCTATTGCATTGTACACTCCACTACAATACAGTATCTATTATACAGTATCTATTATACAGTATCTATTATATAGTATCTATTATAATATACAGTATCTATTATACAGTATCTATTATACAGTATCTATTATACAGTATCTATTATACAGTATCTATTATACAGTATCTATTATACAGTATCTATTATACAGTACAGTATAATACTAATAGTATTAAAGTATTGGTCCTGTATATTATGATGGTTTGTAAGGTTTTGGGTCAACAGTGATTTCATATATTGACTTGAGTAGGAGGACATGCTGTATATGATATAAGAGCCTCTGGGAATTAATCATAAATTAAATTACACGAACACACAGTGTCTGCTCCAGTATACAGCTTCATGAGGTGGTGTGTGTGTGTGTGTGTGATTAGTATATATCCTCTTGGGTATTGGACTAGTTTATTTTCATGTCTGGCTCTCTCTCTTTGACTTCATTTTATTCTTACATACCATCACTGCCTCCCCCTCTCTCCTCTTTTCTCCTGGGACCCCCTCCCTCTCTCCCCCCTCTCTCTCTCTCTCTCCCCTCTCTCTATAGGATGAAGAAGGTTGGGAGTATTTGGAGGAGGATCAAGCGCTTTATAATTATAAAATACCGTCTGAGGTAAGACTACATCTATGATAAACATGTTTTTAAATCTAATTCAATATTGTTATGATATATTTTGTTAATGATAATAATGATAATAATAATAATTGCAGTCAGTTTCAGAAACCAGCATCTCCAGTGACAGAGATGTCTCCATTAATTTATTTATTGCATTTACTGCTAAGTAATATTATCTATTGTATAGGATTACCAGCTTGTCTTTGATCTTGATGTGTATGTTCTTTTTAGAAAATTAATTATTATTATCTTTTTTATTAAACATAGACAATAGTCTATATGTAATCAATACCTTGGTATTGTTTCACCTCCTCTCTCTCTCCTTGTCCAGCTGCACAGAGAGAGAGAGAGAGAGAGAGAGGAGGGGGACCAGGTGCTGGTTCTTATTAATATTTATTATCACTTTGGCATTATTTGATTTTGACCTATAGACAAGTTTGGCTCCTCCAGCTGTACTTCATTCATTGACAGCACCTGTAGCCTTCCCTCCTCCTCTACTAATTAATATTTTAAATATATTTTTAATATACACCTGCTCTAGCTCCCTCTCCTTTATTTCTAGACACACCTACAGTACATGTACCTATTCCTGCTCTATATATATAATTGTGGTTAATTATTACATGTCAATGTTATACAACAGTAAAGATTGTGTGGTTTAACTAGCACATATACAGTGACTCCTGTCTATTCCTCTCTCTTCTACAGTTTGCAAACACCACATTATTACATTATTAGTAGGTCATCTTAACCACTCACTCACTGCATGGGTTCTTCTTTATGACCTAGCTATTCATCAGTATTGTTTTTGATTTTATTATTTTGTAGCTTTGAGGGTAAATTTTTGGTAAATTACTGTATTTTTGGTGATTGACCAGTTTTAATTTGGCAAATTTGTGGCCAAGTGCCATTACTCTTGATGAAATGTGCCAAATTGATCAGCTATTTACAATACTTTATTATTATTATTATTATTATTATTATTATTATTATTATTATTATTATTATTATTCTCTTCTTTTAGTGTAAATTGGAACTCAAGCCATTAGAGCCAGTATATTCTGATGTTCGTGTTGTTATTCCACAGCTGGAGTGCAGCCTCTCAGTCCAGTTTGACCAGTTTAGTTTGGTAGGTGATGTCCTACAGCAGGTGCTTCAGTTAGCACAACCTAAACTAGACCCCAAGGAAGACTATACACTGAACCACGTCAGACTCAGAATGAGGTAAGTATTATACCCCTCTTCCTCCCTCTCTCTCCCTCCCCTCTCTCCTTCCCCCTCTCTCTCTCCCTCTCTCTCTCTCCCTCTCTCTCTCTCTTCCAATCAAGATGTGTTTTTCCTAGACTTGTGTACTACAATATACTATTATGTTTGTCCATTATTGTGTATAGTACTACCACTCACTGTCTGTGTTTATACACTCTATACTGTTGTTGCTATTGTTTGTTATTTTACTAATACAATCATCATGAGTCTACCATTAGCTCATCCCTGGTTGTGTTTCATTATTGTGTCTCTGTCTGTCTGCATGATCGTCCATCATTATTTAAGAATGACTAGTCTGCCACTATTGCCAGCTATTCCATCATTGCACTTTAATTCAGTGACATACGTACATGTACACCTATATACTATTGACCTTTGCTGTGTTGGTGTCAGTTCCTCTATTAATTCATTTGTTTCCATGGCAGTAGATCGGGTACATACGTCATGTACACTTTACGTTGAAATAAGATTCCTTGAAATGGTCATAACTTTGAAAGTAAAGCTTGGAATCAGCTCAAACTTTCTACACAGCATAAGGACATCAATATGCATCAGAAAATGTAATAAAAATTTGAGTTGATTTTGGAGCCATTTTTTTGGAAAAAAACCATGGGCTATAGCCTTGGGTATTTTTCAGAACTTTGGCATTTTCTTAAAATGGCCGTAACTCAAAAAATTGAAGTCAGAATCAGCTCAAACTTTCTACACAGCATAAGGACATCAATATATATATCTGAAAGTGTAATAAAATTGTGAGGTGATTTGGGTCCATTTTTGGAGAAACTGGTGCTGCAGAGAGACGCTGGTATGATTGTTTGTTATGGTACAGCTCCAGTTAGTCAGGGAATGGCTGGTTTATGCTAATTATTTCTTGTACCACACACAAACACTCACACCATATTCTGTACAATGTACACAAACCTATTTGTACCTCTCTCCCTCCTCCCCCCCTCTCTCTCTCCCTCCCCTCTCTCTCTCTTTCTGTATTATTAACTAATCCCTTTACTGGTATATATTATAGTGCATCTTGTACAGTGGGTAATGTGTATGTTATGAAATTCATTTTTAAATCTTGTTTAATTATTGACAGCTGCTCCCTCTCCCTCTCTTGCTTTGTCTATTGCTAATCTTTGATCTTTTATTGTCACCTTCTATTAATCATATTATCATTAATTAATTTATTATCTTACAATCATCATTCTCTTTTTCTTAGGATGGACGCCACTGAGAGTATGATGTTTTATTCAATTTTACCAACTGACGTCTTAGAGTGTCGTGTAAGCATTATACATGTACAAATTATTAAAATTGATATACATGTACATGTACATTAATTGTCATGTTCTCTTTTTAAAGACCAGCTGTACATTAAGTTGTTTCCCCTCCTTATAGTTATTAATAGTTATTAATTATATACCGTATAGTCCTGAGGATTATTTGTTTTCTGTTTATTAATATTTAATTACCAATTGGGCCCAACTCCTCGTGAATATTTAATCACACAATTATATTCATTGAAAGATTATCAGTACTTGTATTATATACCTGTCATATGCATTATACTGGTACTATAGTACAGTGGGTTTAAACCTCGTATCTATGTATCAATAGTAGTTTCTTAGTAGTAGTCAGTGGTGCTAATGGTGTTTAGTCTTTGGATGTGTTCATGTATATTCAAATACTTTACTACAGCTGCTAATGGACTGAGGGAGAGAGAGAGAGAGAGGAGGGAGCCTTATTATTATTATTACTGTTGCATGACAGAGTGGGGGATGCCTTGTTATAAAACACACCATGTTCCCCCTTCCCCCTCTCTCCCCCTTTCATCCTCCTCTCTCTCTCTGTTAGCACTCAAGGTGTGTTGGGGTGTGATTTGTAACCTCTTCCTTATTAGTTCAGACATTTTGTTATAAGTACAACTTGTTACAACTTCACAATCATTTTAAGCAACTTCTCTCTCTCCCTCTCTCTCTGTCTCTAGCTTTCAGTTGGTAAAGTTCACGAGCAGTCAGTGATACTAACTATAAAGATACCAGCCATACAAAGCAGCAGAAAGGTGAAGGTTTGCTTGGATGAGACAGTAGGAGAACTGATGAGGTAAGAATCATCTTATAACTTGTGCTGTATGATCTGGTCTACAGCTAGTACTGTGCTGTTTTTATCAGTGCAGCAGCAGTGTGACATTATCTGTTAATAATCCTTTGATATGCTAGTATCAGTCATTATTAATTCAATTTGTTGTATAAATCAACAACCAGTGTTGGTTTGACAACTGTAGTAAAACACAGTCAGACTGATAGTATCACGTCATTAAAATAGCTACATTCATATAATACAGTCTATGGCTTACAGTCTATAGGCTCCTGCTTTATAAACACTAGCAGGTGTTCTTATCATAGTGAGACTAGTGAGTGCCTTAGAGGCTGTCTCCTTGTAAAGAGGGTGAGTGTTGATGTCATGTTGGATGATTTCATCATCTTTGCTCCTCTGATAATCCTTTGTACTGCCATCAGTTGCCAAATTACCTTAGAGACATGGCTAGCCCAGTGTATTTATAATGAATAGTCTGTTAGTATTATCACTGTCCCCCTCTCTCTCTCCTACAGTACTTTAATGCGGAGGGTTCCTGAACCAGAGAGCACTCGGTGGGCCCACATGTCTTTATATTTAAGATCAAAGGATTTCTCGGCCCCTGGGGTCTGGATGGAAGATTATAAATTCCTTGCAGCATACAAACTTAAACCTACTGTAAGTATAGTATTATTATTATTATTATATTATTATTATTATTATTTTAAATATTTAATTTATATGAGTACTAAAAGTTGTGTTACTTTAGTGAATTAGTGCTTACCCTTTTATACACTTTAGTGTCAAAGTGTTGACATATTTGTGAAGAGAGAGAGAGAGAGAGAGTGAGCAGGTGATGCCTTTATTTTGTATGATTTCAACCCACAGCATTAGTATGGCTGGTTGATATCACCTTTACTCCTAGCCTCAGCTACACACCTGTACTGTAGCTACCTGTACCGCCCTGTATTTATACACTGTCCTATCTAATGGACTTGAGTATTACTGTATAATTGAGTTAGCTTTGTACTTCAGTTGTGGTTTGAAGCCATTTTATCAAAATACCAGGAGTTGTGGAGAGAGGGGGGAAGAGAGAGAGAGTTCAGCCATGGTTACTGGCGTTATCGTAACAGTGATAGGGAAATTGGAATGGATCATCAAAACATGTTTGTTGTTTATCATTTTAAAATAAACAGGAAGTTTATCAAGAGAGGACATGCACTTTTACTTATCCATTATTAGACACTGTACATGTATCTGTATCTGTAGCAGCTTTTGAGCTGATTCCAATCAAACTTTGATTCTATACAAATTTTTAAAGTTGCTCTAAAACTTGACAAAGTACCCTATACTATAGTACAGTGTCTTTGGCCAATTTTTTCAAAAAATGAAAAGGAGAGAATTCTATTACATTTCCTGACACATTTGCATGTACTTATGTTGTGTATCAAGTTTGAGCTGATTCCTATATTGTAGGATGTCATTGAGTTTCGTCCCAAGTATCGTCCAATGAAATTTGAGCTAAGAGTTTATCCCCACGATCATGATGGTGACAATCATGTTGTCTATGCCACACCAGAGCTCCTCGTTTCTCAAGATAGTTTCGTATCTGACGTTGTAGATCTTCTCTGTAACTCCTGGTAAGTCACTAATGGTGGAATCTTGATCACTGATAGATCTAGAGGGACTGAGTTTAGGAGACTTTGGTCTCTCATACTTAGCCCCTAGGTCTCCTTCAGTCTCCTATTTTTAGTTAGATTGACCTGTTAGATATAATAATGAATTTTAAACATTATTTAATTTCTTTTTGTTTCTCTTCTTTTGTTCCAGTTCTCTTGAGTATGACCCCAGACTCTATGGCCTGTTTCTCCATGACGACCAGCAGTTGCCGAGTGAGATGTCCATGTGGGATTACCTTGACGACGGTGTCCCTGGTTACCAGGACACCCTCGTCCTCCACATGATTCACAAACCAATCATAGTCTCACTGGAAACTGAAGAGGACAGGTAATGCCACACCTCCATTATGCCACACCTCCATTATACAATGTGTATAGCCTTCCTAATGTCTGTAGTTGTACTTGTACTGAACAGTTTTAAATTTAAATATATTTTCATGTTAATTCTTGTTGTTGTAAATGTTGTATTTTAATTATTATAATTAAATTGTATAAATTGTACTTTTACACATGTAAAGGGACAAATATACATTTATGGGCTATAACTGGACGATATTTTATTTATGATAATAATAATGATGATGATGATGATGATGATGATGATGATGATATGATGATGATGATGATGATGATGATATTGTTTTTTCTTATACCTGCAGTATTGCAACCATCAGTGTTGACTTCAGTCAACCTTCTGTGGTTGTCAAGGACATATTGTGCAGGAGGTACGGCTGCCGCTATCACAATCAATATGGTCTCAAATACGAAGGTAACGGTAAGCCCCACCCCCAAACGCACACACTAATTGAATGGGTGTGGTCAGAGATTGTTTTTATTTTTGTATTTAAAAAAGGTGTCAGAGTGTTACTGATTGATTTATCTAATAAATCAATTAATAATAATAACAATTAACTTATCAGTAGTGGATTCAAAGAGCAGGCACATCTGTTACTGCATTAAGATTACATCTTCATGTAAACCTTCAACTTTAGGTACATGTACAATGTACCTAACACCTTATTAAGGACACCATTGGGCCCACACTACCTGTCCTTAATACAGAGGTGTCCTCATTTCAGAGGTACTTTTGTATAGGCTTGTTCCAATTGGGACATTACAAAATGTCCTCATTATAAAGGTGTCCTTAAGAGCTTTAGTAATAGTACAGGGTATGTTGTTAAACTAACTGTGTGGTTTTAGTCTGTAGTAATAGACCAGTGAAATCATTTAAACACACACACACACACACACAATGTCTGTGTTACCTTTACATGTCTGCCCCTAGGTCTCACGCTCAACCTTCAGAAGTCTCTCCACAATCAGGGCGTCCTTGAGCAGGAAAGGATCCTTCTAGTGGTAATGGATGACAGTGACGTAGTACCTGCTTCTCCGATGAAGGACCAACTGATCAGGAAAGACTCTGCTTCGGCATCTATGGAGGTAGTGCAACTTTTATTAATTTTTATTAATTTTATTAATTTTAATTTATTTTATTCATTTATTTATTTATATATTTATTTTATTCATTTTATTTATTTTACAGTGTGAAGCGGGCAGTAGAGAGTCCCTTGCTTTGGTTGAAGATGATTGTAATATTTGGGACGAAGGCCCTGACTCAGAACACAACATCAGGTTCAAGAAGACAAACGAGTTAGTCGTAGTTGGAGCAACTTTTAATAAACTGGTGGAGAGAATAACCTCAGTGACTGACCACGGTAAGGGGAAGGGGGAGGGAGAGTAGGAGGAGGGGGGAAGGGGAGAGAGGAGGGGGAGAGAGGGGGGAGAGAGGAGAAGGAGAGTATTATTATAAATCAAATGTCACACTCTTTTTTTCTTCAGACATTGAGTTTGTAAAGACGTTCCTTCTCACGTACCAGTCCTATGCCACTCCTGATAAACTGCTTCGTAAACTGATTGAGCGTTACAATGTCGTGAGACCTTTAGGAACGAGCTTAGGAGAGTTCTCACAAATGAGACAGACGATACAGGCTCGTGTCATCAACGCTCTCAGACTCTGGGTGGAGTATGGAGTGGATTTTAAAGGTACCGCATTTTAAAAGATAATTTTAATTGACACACCTTTATATTAATTGTATCATTATCAATTTAATGTCTCTCTCTTTTATTTCAGATAATGTGACACTCCAGGATAATATCCTTCATTTCATCAGTTCAGTTCTGGTTCTGGATCACCCCAGACTTTGTAGACCACTGAGGACCAATATTCTCTCCATAAGGGGTCTGATACAGAAAAGAAATGTGAAAATGTTCAGGGACCCCCCACCACCAGTCAAAGTAAATAAATAAATAAATAAAGGTTTTAATAATTACTTCTATTACTTATTCAGTTTCCAGCTAATCCTGGCCCAGTATTGAGTGTCTTTGATTTTGATCCCGAGGAGATCGCCCGTCAACTAACTCTCATTGACTTCAGCCTCTTTGCTAAAATAAAACCAGCGGAACTACTCAACCAGGTATTGTATTATTATTATTGTTGTTGTTGTTGTTGTTGTTGTTGTTATTATTATTATTATTATTATATTACACTAGGCCTGGCAGAAACCCAAATACAGGGCCCGTGCTCAGAATATATTGCGACTAGTGGACCGGATGAACAACCTCACCCTCTGGGTCGCTACCACCATATTGTCTCAGAAGGACATACAGCAGAGAGCTAAGAGGATACAGGGATTCATTCAAATATGCAACGTAAGGCTATATCCTTTTAATTCAACAGCATTCTATATTTAAATTTTTGAAATTTTAAATGTTGATTTTTAAATTTTTTAAAGTTCAAACTGATTCCCCTCTTTCTCTCATTAACAGCATTTGCATTCGATGAATAACTTCTGTACACTAATGGCCCTTCTCAATGGGCTCGCCCATCACTCCATCAACAGACTCACAAAGACCTTCGGTAAACTGGACAAGGTTCTTCATAAAAGACTCAACGAGTTACAAGAGATGGCAAGACCTGGCGACCATTTTAAACTATTGAGAGAAGATCTGAAGAAAGCTAGCAATCCCTGCATACCATACCTGTAAGGATTAATGAATAAATAAATAATAATAATAATAATGATGATGATGATGATAATGATGATATTTTTTGTATTTTCAGTGGTCTGTACATGTCTGATTTGACATTTCTTGATAATGGCAATCCAAACTTTCACAGAGATAATCTCATTAATTTCTCAAAGTGCCGTCTGATATATCATCAGATAAGAGATCTCATATTAAGACAAGTAATTAATAATAATAATAATAATAATAATAATAATATATTTATTTATTTATTTATTATTTTCCCTCTCTCTAAAGGATAAATCATATAATTTTGAGGAGGTCCCAGCTCTTCATGAGTCGCTGCTCAAGTTTGCATTTCTTGATGATGATACTCTTTATGAGGTATCACTCCAGAGAGAGCCACGGTATGAGTCTATGTAACACCTAAACAATACTCACGTAAATGTGCAATATAGGGACAAAGTCCCTGTACTATTTCGCCAAAAATAACACTTTGAAAATTCTTGATTTTTATGATTTTTTCTGATACATATACATGTTCTTATGCTGTGTAGCAAGTTTGAGTTGATTCCAATAAAAATTAAATTTTTTATGAATTTTTAAAGTTGCTCCAAAATCGGGCAAAAGTCCCTGTACTATAGTACAGGGACTTTGGCCAAATTTCGCCAAAAATTAAATTTTGAGAATTTCTACTTTTTATGAATTTTTCTGATACATATACATGTTCTTATGCTGTATAGCAAATTTGAGCTGATTCCGATCAAAATTAATTTTTTTATGAATTTTTAAAGTTACTTACTGTAGTTTTATATTATTATCATAATGACTATCATTTAACCTCTCTCTCTCTCTCTCTCCTTACAGAGATGATAAGAAGGTTATACCATAATTACACTCGAGAGTTCCACATCATTTGTTTGATATAATGATCCTTTTAGTAACAGCTGCACCCTCTTATAATATCATTCACCAATAGACACTGTAACACTATTATCTATACTCACCTTTCACACACACTCACTGAAGCAGGTCACCTTATTAAAGACACTTCACATTTAAATGATTTTGTTACTTATAAACAATTTAACATTTACATTTATTTTCATATTAATCCTTCCATGCACTGTATAACCACTAATTAATGCATTATTAACATTATTAACATTAATTCTTTATTATTATGCTCTTCAGTTATCCATTTTTAATTGTTATTATTGTTATTATTATTGTTGTTGTTGTTATTATTATTATTGTTATTGTGTTGTCATTTACAATATCTCACAAACTATTACTGGTTTAGCCATTTTCACTTTTGTATTTTTGAAAATACTATTTTCTGTAAAATGGCTGAAGAAAGAACACAGACCAGAACAATTTTAAAAATTCATTAAAAAATTCAATTTTTATTAGAATCAACTCAAACTTGCTACACAACATAAGAACATGTATATGTATCAGAAAAAATCATAAAAATCAAGAATTCTCAAAATTTTATTTTTGACGAAATTTGGCCAAAGTCCCTGTACTATAGTACAGGGACTTTGGCCTAATTTCGGAGCAACTTTAAAAATTCATAAAAAATTAAATTTTTATTGGAATCAACTCAAACTTGCTACACAACATAAGAACATGTATATGTATCAGGAAAAAAATTAAAATGAAGAATTCTCAAAATTTTATTTTTGGCAAAATCTGACAAAAATCCCTGTACTACAGTACAGGGACTTTGGCCCAATTTTGGAGCAACTTTAAAAATTCATAAAAAATTCAATTTTTATTGGAATCAACTCAAATTTGCTACACAACATAAGAACATGTATATGTATCAGGAAATATAATTTTACTCTCAGCATAGTCAATGAATGACAGTTAAAATAATTATTAAAAACCAAAAGACACAATAAATACGTAATATTAGATATAACTGTTCTACTACAAAAAAACAACAAAAATAATAATGACAAAAATAAAAATACTGATGATATTTGACAATGTTAATAAAGCAGCTGAATAAACAAAAGTAATAATTAATTAATTATTAATTAATAATTAATTAACTCAAAGGTATGTATAAACGTTTGATTCAGTCTTCTTCTCGTCGTCATGGAAACTATCTCCATCTTTAACCTTCTCATAAAGGTTCTCTCCATTAAACCCAGTGTCCTTCTCCTTCATCTCATTCTCAATGGTCGTGTATCTGGTAAGCTCCACCCCCTTCTCATCAATACTAGCATACTCCACTGGAGCGTCTTTAACTGACTCCGTTTCCATGGCAACAGCATAAGATTTCTTCTTCCCTGATCCCTCAGACACAAGATGATAAGTGTGGAAACCTCCTTCACTCTCATCAAATATCGGCTTGTTTGAATAGACTGTTGAGGAATGAGCTCCATAAATGCTTCCCTTACCACGTCCTCGGTAATATCTCTTCTTTCTTGCTTTGACCTTGTAACAGTTGTAAGCGAATATGATGATAGTTAGACAGACTATAGCAATGAGCACAGCCCCACTGACTGAGGCCGATATTATTGTGATTATCAGTTTATTGTCAGTGCTCTCCGTAGGGGGAGTGGTAGGGGGCGGGGTCACAGGGGGACCCTGAGACACTGATACCAGCTCCAACGAGTTGCCACGGAAACTGAGAGTGGTAATAGCAGGAGATTCTGGCAGTGACTCTACGAAAGAGAGGAGAGAGTTCAAATTGGAACTGGTAGCAGAGAAGGACACTATGATACTTCCTTCAGTGACAGACACATTGAATAAGTATATATCAGGATAAGAGGACATTAGCTGACTGGTGAAATGAGATATGAATGCCTCCTCATGTCCACTAATAATATCAGGATAGCTGTTATTGTAAGTGACAGTGTAACGGGCCACTTGATACTCACTGATTTCAATAGGTTCAGACTCAATGGGCTCAGGTAACTCATTAGCCGGACTGCTAGGTACTGTATAGACGGAATACCTAATCCTATAAGACCCTGGACTGGTTATATGGAACGGAGGGAAGGAAGCAGTCCCATTGACAATACGAACACTATTCATCATGTTCTGACTCTTGTCACTACCATCAATCAATACAGCTCTCATGAACCAGGCCCTACCCCTCCAACCCAGACTATCAGCAACCTCTCCGTTATGAGCATCAATCACATGAACTAGTGTGGAGCCTGGGAGGGGGAACGTGGTGTTACCAGTTCTAGGAGGTCCTCTTATTAAGGAGAGGCGTAACCCACGGGTTGCTATGGTTATAGAGGTAGATGCTGTGACAGTAAAATTAGCAGTTGCTGGATAGGTTACAGTGAATATCAGCTGATAAGTGCCGGAATGACTGAAGGTAAACCCTGAGAATAGACCCATACCATTGCCAATACTGGCAGTCCCGTTAGTTAGAAACACCCCTTCAATCCTATTGGTTATACTGGCTGTTAGTAACCATGGTAACCCAACACCAAGGGTACTAATGACGTTCCCACGTCCATCAAACATAGAGACAAGAGGTGGGTTGCTCATAGGGATACCTTCTATTCCGGTTGATGGTAGAGATATGATACGTAGTTGAGTAGGAATACTCAGCTCAATGGATGTTGTCTCATTCCTCTGCTCGTTCTCTTCCATCATTTGCTGTTCATTGAAGGTTGGGAGTGATGCTGTCCCATTGTCTCCTGGTTGAGGTCCTCCAGTTTCATTAGTGGCCCTCACTCCTCCGGTTGGGTCAGTCACCATTGGCTGTGGTTCTGTGATCTGAGCGTCCAGTACCATATAACCAATCTCTTGAGAGAGTTCACCTGTCTGTATCACCTCACCTACTTTAGTAGTGATATTGACCAGTTCATTGTAGACAGTGTCCTCTGAATCTGTTGGTGTTGTTGTTGTTGTGTTGTCATATCCAGTATCAGTACCATTGTTGTTGTTGTTGTTGTTGTTTTCTGTTGTTGTTTCATTTGATGGTGCGTCCCCAATCTCAATCTCAACTCTTGTTCGTTCCTCAGTCTGTCTCTTTCTCCTGGCCCCTCCCTCAGAAACAACGTTGACTATTCTGATCCTGTTCGGACTGATGCCCAGAAGCAACGCAAGGTTCTGTATCAGGTTAGTTTCAAAGAACTCATCCACAGTGACGGGAGGCAAGTCAATACCCAGCTGTATGACGGGTGTGGTCTCAACTCTCACTGGGGCATTTCCTCTTACGATGATGTAAAGTTTCTTCTCCGTCCTGTCGTAATAATTAGTTCCATGGGATTCGGTCAGAGACGGAATAAAGTTCTCTCCTCGACGATAGCGAAGGTTTCCATCCTGCAAGTACCCATTGGTGGGTATTATGTACTCGGAACCAACATAGACGTCAAGTCTTTGAGGATTGTTGTAAATGTAAGCAACACGCAATGATTGAGAGTCTGTGGCATGTAACAAGATAAAGTTAGTGTTCTGAGGATTAGTACTAGTGAGGCCGATAGTATAGTTGAGACCAGCTGCTACTATAGCAAAGAATGTTGATATCCTTTCTTGACACGTGTAGCCACCACACCAGCCGTGATCCTGTGGCCCGTTAATGAGGTCAATGTATCCATCAGCACCAACACCAACTGGGGAGAGACGTCTCACCTCAGTATCAGCATCAAGACTCTCAATCACTAACATGAGGTGATCAATACCGGCACAAGAGTAGCTGTTGTAGTCTGTGTTAAACTCACAGGAGGACCCTCTGTAGATACCTTTGTTTGGGTATATAACGTCAGGATCTATTCTACTGCCATTGGGTCTGCTTAACATTGCAATTGGGATACGATAGTCTCCCAGACCACGCCTCCTGTCCCCGTCCCACTCCAGCTCTGATCTAGACACTAGAGTAGAGAGTCCCTGGGTTCCAAGGAAGGACCCATCATTATCACGAATGAGTATCTTCTTGAGTCCGTCACAATCCATATCAACACAGTCTGACGGGTTAATGCTACCCAAGTTCGGGTTGTGGTTGAAGAATTTAGAAGCATTGGATCCTAGCTCATATGAGATCCTCTCAGTCCAGAGAGGATGCTGGCAATCCTCAGAGCCAGGGTGGGTCATGATGGCTGCCTCTGGTTTCTGATTGCAGTGAGTAGCAAAGTTACAGAAAGTGACATTGGTTAAACTAGTCAGACCATTAATGGCTGGGTAACTGATGATACTCCACCAGGCTGCTTTTGGGAAGTGGCCCACTCCTGATACAAAAGAAGTGAGAATGACTCCCACATGAGCACCACCACGATTCAAACCCCGGTGAGATGTACGGTGAGTAGCAATGATTGGCTCACGACTGTATTCAGTGCAATTCACAGATCCTCCATTAGGATGTAGAGTAGACATTATTTTAGTATCCTTTATAATGACGGTTTTATTACCAACGACATGAGAGCGAGAAGGAGGGGCCATTACTGCAGTGAAGGTAGCAGCATAGTTATTAACAAACAAAGAATCAGTTATTATTATTCCAGCCCTTGAGTAGGAGAAGAAGCCATAATGATAGCAGCTGTATACTTTAAAACTGTGGAAGGAGGAGCAGCCATTGATCCCACTGCTGTACCCATCTCTATAGCCCATGTGGATACCATGGAGCGTGGAGTGGGCTACGTTGTCCCTCCATTTTGGTGTAAAGTTATCAAGGAGGCAGTTCTCTCCATTAGTGTGGAATCCTGCCTTACTGCCACCAGCAGCTGAATTACCTATTAAAGAGTAATCCTCAGCGTCTACTAGATCAAAGTTAGCAGTCCATTCATCGTTGAAAGGTTCTTCAGGAGAGCGATAGGTCCCAGGGAACAAAGCCACTACTGCTAAATTATTAATAATACTGTGACCAGTGCCGGCCAGCTTTAGAGAGGGTCCAACTGATCTGTGAATGACGTTATCATGAATGAACATGTTATCAGTACCAAATACCCCGATACCAGTACTGTAGCCATTGTGGAATGAACAGGATCTGATGTATGAGCTGTTACCAATGATGGTTCCAGTGTTTAGGAATGAGACTGAGAAACGAGGATCAAAATTCTCCACAAATCCTTCCTGACCACACCCATTAAACTCCACCCCTGACAACCTAGCCAGTCCGGTGTGAACTCCACTGGAAGTGTTGTAGTAGGTACTGACCAGTATCCTGCAACCATAGGACTGGGTCTTTGATAGGTCGGTGGTGGCGTTAGGGTGAGTACCAAGAATCTTAATGTTACGTGTTAGGAGACCCACTTCAGCATTGATGTTAACTTTACAACACTCAGTGTTATGTTCTCCTCCAAGGTGAGTGAACCCTAATGGCTGGGTCAGTGTCAACGTGAGTCCATTGTTACTGACACTAGCAATAACACGTTCCTCTGTTTCACCTATCTCATAGTAAGAAGCTGCTATCACTATTTCATCTCCAGGGTTCCAATCAACAGGCTCCAGTAACTGGATTGTACTGGTACCTGGTCCTGCTGTCTCAGCTAATCCTGTCCAGCTACGTGAGGTCTCTTTGCCATGTAACAATAACTGACCAAACACTCCTAGCCCTTTAGCACCTAAGACAGGACCAAGGTTAGGTAGTCTGTATTCAGGAGATGAAAGTGATCCATTCAGTATTATCATCAACTGGTGTTGGAACGGAGTCTCATTGCGACCAGCGACTAGTACTCCTCCTCCATCAATGAGGATCCTGTTAGCCTCAAGAACATGGTCCCTATCATCGAGGAACTCTAACCCACCACATACTGTCAGTGTGTTCAATACTGGGAGAGGAACATCCACCAGTACGTAAAGATCACAGCCGATATACACATCAGTGTTATTGGAAGGGAGGGACCCATCAGGCCATATAGAGACATTGGACCACATCTGAGTGACACTGGGACGACCAGGGGGACGTGGGGTGACTGGTTCAGGAGGAGGAGGAGGGATACAGTTCTCATAGAAGCACTGATAGGAGGAGAATACTACTGACACATCAACAGGACATGACGGGTTAGTACCGTTGACATAGTAAGTGACAGTAGTCTCATTCACATCACTGTACCAATCACCTATGGAGGACACACCCCCAGCTGGTAGGGAATCACTGGAATTACTTTCAACACCATTTAGTGTGATACCGTTGACAACGTCTTTGAAATCATGTCTGATCCACAAATACTCAGATGAGTTGATACCGGAATAAAGTGCATTGTAACTGATGTTGACAAACCTTTCTCCACCAGGCCAGTCCAACTGGTGGACTCTTCTGGTCGGTAACAAAGCCATGTAGCCTGCACCATGAATCAACCTCTTGAGGACAAAAGGTACAACAGTGGATCCATGCTCGTTGCTTATCATCAGGTCTCTGTACATGAGGGAGGAGGGGACTGGGGTAATCATGGCAAACCTAACAAACTCCAGCCCTGGGTCACAGACTGATCCATTCACACCACCACTAGATGACGAGTCGTCATGACGACAGAGAGTGGGGGGCAACAGACCAGAGGTTGGTATTAAGGCACCTCCTGCTTGACCCGTCAGTGACCCATCCATATCTCGGAACACATTCTCATTCTCCCATTGCCAGAATACCTTATTAGGACTGTTAGTGAACGTCAGTTTCTCAAACCTTGCTTCAAACCCACCCTGTAACATACCCCTACAGTGAGAGCAAGCTCTTAAAGCATAGCAACCATCTTCATCAAAGTTGACAAGAGTCACGTTGGACACTGTAAAGAAATAAGTATGAGGTGTTTTAACACCCGAGGCAGTGCAGACTGGGGGACCTCCCCTCAGCCTAGCATCATCAACCTCTCGGAGGCCAGAGTGGGCAATAATTAGAATATTCTCAATAAGGGCTCCACTCTTACCCCAGCCAGCTTTAACAAGGGTATACTCTACACCAGCAACAGTATTGTCAAGAAGAACACTGTTTTTTAGCTGGACTGCTCCTACTTCAGAGAACTCAATCCCACGATCATTACGCCAGGCAAGGAGTGAGTCAAAGACAGCTGGTGTAACGGTATCACAGGTGTCTTGGTTAACTGGATAGTACTCTTGAAATATCCATATACCATACCAGCCGAAGGAATGAGCTGAGTTATTGAAGAACTCACCCATTGGGTCGTTGACTGGTCTAACTGCAGTGGTGAAGGATGGGCCCGTGGGGTGGGTCGGTGGGCGGTACCAGTAACCAAAGTGTGTCCCACCTGCAGCCGCGTTGTGTCTAAAGGTGTTGTTTGGGTTCACTGACCAGAAGGTAGCGGGTGTGATATCAACGTTTAGCAGTGAGCTTGAGGCCCTTACAAACACTCCAAGGTTATACTGTATTACATTACCAATCTCAATACCATCCTCTAAGAAATAAGCATGTCCTTTTATATTGAAGGCAACGTTCCTCTCCACTAGTAGATTATCCACAGCATGTATTGTCACTGCTCTGTTGAAGGTATGGTGAATACTGCAGCCTCTAACATAAGAGTCACTCACGTCACCGTTGAGATGAAAATGGATCGGGTAGCGCCCGAGACGGAAGGCCTGACCAGCATGAGTGACCTCAATAAACTCAATACGTCCTCTTATCCTGTCGTTGGGTCCTTTGTGTAACATTATCTGAGACCCAAACTCATCTCCAATAACTTCAGCTCCAAACCTACCACCAAAGCAGGTCTGTACATCAAACTGTCCTGGTTTGAACTCCTGAGGACAATCAGCAAACTGTATGTTCCATTCGTCATTTCTGTTTCCTCTTACGACGACATTCCTAGTGAGGTAGCCTACCTCCCCAGCAGTTTCAATGGTCTGTCCATGAATGGTCTGTATCAGTGACACGTGAGTGTAACTCACTGGAGGTGTTACATGAATTGTGTATCCATCATTTGTTATATTAGTGATCGTCAGTTCTTCATTCTCTCTTTGACTGTAGCTGGTAGATGCTAGTACTATTTTCCCGCCAATGCTCCAGTCCGATACATTGTGTTTGACGGTCAGTTCAGTGCCACCAGGTCTCACGGTGGCATTAAGACGAGTCCAAGTGTCCCTTATCGGTAGACCGTGGAGGTCCAGGGTACCGTTACGGACGGCAAGGGTCTTAGCACCGTACAATGGTATCTCAGGTGATAGTCTGTGGCCGTACATCACAATCTGTGCCTTGTGCTTGTATGGTGTTGTCTCTGTCCCAATCTGTAACAGCCCCCCTCCAGTTATTAGTATATTCTCTGAGTGAAGCTCAACGCCATCTTCCTCATCATCAAAGATTAGCTCTCCTCCTTGTATCAGTAATATCTTTAGTATCGGGGTCTTTATATCAAGGACCAGGGTCTGTCCATATGAGACTATCACAAAGTCTCCTTCAACTGGGAGAGAGGTCCCACCCCACGTGTACACAGAGCTCCACAGGTCCACGTATTGGAAGGTGACATTAGATATAGCGAATCCTTTTCCATCAACAAAGACCATTATAGTAGCAGTGACTGACACACCAGCAGGACCAGTCTCACAGACAATAGAAGTACTGGTATTTTCTCTGACTGTACACACAGTCCCTGCTATAGTGACGTTAACAGTAGAAGTGAACCCAGTCCCTCCTATCAATAGTAGGGACCCTCCAGCAGTACCTCCTCTTGTACGATTGACACTGTGAACAGTAGGAGTGAGGTCCCTGTTGAAGTTATAAGCATCAGTTAGTGTAATGGTGTTTGATAGACTAGTGATGATCACATCACAGTCAGTGCTGGTTATACTCTCATTGGTGAGTGTATCAGTGAATGATGGAACTATACATGATAGACTAGTCAGTGATGGTCTCTGAGAGCTCTGTCTGCACACTCTACCACATATACTGATGTTAATGGCCACAGGGTTGAACCCAATACCACTCAATGTTACTGTATTCAGACCAGCAAAGCTACCATTGCTAGGACTGACCCCAGACACTATCAGGGTATAGGTAAACACAAGATCACCAGTAGCCCGTCCTTTACCGTCAATCCTCACATCAATCGGATACCGGCCGACAAAGTTAGTACCCAGTGAACACTGTATGGTAGTGCCATTGGCACTGGTGACATTACAGACTGACTGACCTATACTAACACTAGTGTCCCCGATATTAGTAGAGAACCCGTCACCACTGATAACAATGAGATCACCTCTTTGACCACTAGTAGGACTCACACTGGTTATTGTGGGTGTGGCCTCAATATCATATTCAAATATCAATGGATTGAACACCTCTCTGCGTGGGCGTCTGTGAAAGGCTGGGGTTGCCACGGTAACGTCAACAGTGTGATTTCCCTCACCATTAAGATCAGGAGTGACACAGGTGATTGAAGAATAGCTGCTGGATCTGATGAGACAAGGCTGGCCACTGATATTGACTGAGTTATTGTTCATGAGTGAACTAAACCCAATACCTGATAACGTGAGTTGAGTACCACCTCTGGTACTACCTCTAACTGGAGATATGGAGTCCACTCTCAACTGACTAGTGATCAGGCTGTCTTCCACATCATCAAACAGTGCATAGCCATACCCTGGAGTAAGGACTGTTAGTCTATAGTCTCCAGCTTGTATCGGTGATACAGTACAGGTTATGTTGACTGATTCATCATCAGTACCAGTCATCGATACACCTCCACATTCAGTATAGCCCACCCATACCAGCGACTGCCCTGACAGTAGTGACCCCGTTATCAGTAGAGTCGTATTATGAGCACCTCCTATTGTGCCCGGAGACACATACTCAACCACTGGGGTATTATCAGGCTCGTAGTCATAGTAACAGTCTCCACCCACTGCCGTTACACAAAGAAGGGTCTCTTGAGAGGAGTAGGTGACGTTTACAAGGTGGGAGGAGTTAAAGGCGGAGTCAGAGGATGGTACAATACACTGTATGCTAGTGTAGTTCACTGATAGCATGTCGCATTGTTTGTCAGCAATAAGAACAGTTAGATCATCAGTCTCAGCAAATGAATGACCAGTTATTGTGAGTACGTTACCACCCAGTACAGAGCCCTTTGATGGGGATAACCCTGTCACTATTGGTTTAATTACAACTCCCTCTGGTCCCAGTAACAAGGCATGCCCCTTGTTATCAATGAGTAGAGAGAGAGGCAGGAGAGTGTAAGGGGCTGGTTGACAGGATGAGTCCAGTCTACAAGTTATTGTAGTCTCGTTGTAGACATCTTGTACAAGACAGGGACAGTCACTAAAGGTGATACTAGCCTTACTGCTGTTAGCAGTAAAACCAGTCCCTTCGACAGTAATGACTGATCCTATACTGATGTACTGAGGGTTTACCTCAGTGACTAATGGAGTGTCACAGGTGCTGTAGAGGTATGTAGGGACCTCTGAATTATTGTGGACTGAGCTACAAGAATAACAGTTAGACTCTGATTCTTCTCCTTCCATTTTGAAATCAGCTTCAATAGCACGATCATAGTTAACACTGATTTGAGACGGTATATCTGATATTGATCTAACGATGACAGTTCCACTCATATAACAGTTGAGGCAAGCATCATTAACATCAGTGGTATAGTAGTAAGTACCAGGAGCAGTGAAGGTATTGGTGTAATTACCAGTGACACTGGAGGCTGAACGGAACCCGCCCGGTACATGAGAACTGGACATGAGGCTAGAGGTCTGGTGTACTTCAAAATATTGAGGAATGACAAATCTGGAACCATCCCATTGCCACTAGAAATATAAATAATAAAATAATAAATATGTAGAGTGGGTAGTGCTATACTTACAGTAATGCTGTCTCCCTGGAGTATTTCAATGGTTGATGGGGACCAAGCAAAATATAAACCACGAACTAAATAAATAAATAAATAAACACAACACAATGATTACACTAACCAGGGTCAGTTCCATTGTTGCTGATGGTATGGCTGGTTCCAGTGACTGGAGGTAAGGTACATTTAATTTCATTATAATTCATTGAATGAATGACACAATCAGTGTCCGACCCACTCATGTGGACACCGAGACCCGACACAAACCCACTCCCTTTAACTGTTAACTGATTACCACCGACCAGCGACCCACTGCACGGGGTGACACTGGTTACAAGGAACTGGTACGTGAAGTTAAGAGTACCAGTGACCACAGGACCGACTGGAATATCGTTAGTCATTAATTGTGTTAGCGTTAAGGATCCTTGAGTTAAGATATCAGGTTGATCAATTATTGATTGCGTTAGTGCTATACCGAATGATGTATTACCCTCAACAGTAACGATATGTTGACCAGGAGATGATCTTGATGTGATACAAGTGATACTTGATACTGATACTGATACAATGTCACAGATTGATCCACCAATAAACACTGAAGTGGTGTTTGATAGACGCTGACCAGTAATAGTGACAGTAGTACCTATCAATAATAATAATAATAATAATAATAATAATTTAATGTAGTCATTAGTATTAATTAAATTGGAGAAATCTCTTGGAGACTTTTTCTGGAATTCTATGTACTATAGTACAGGGACTTTGGCCTAATTTTGGAGCAACTTAAAAAATTTGTGAAAAATCCAATTTTGATTGGAATCAGTTCAAACTTCTACACAACATAAGAACATGTATATGTATTGAATCAATTACACACAAAGTCTATTGAGCTACAGTATATCCTTACCTCCAATGGAAGGACCCATTGATGGAGTGATGGCACTAATGACAGACACATCATCAGTACTATACTCATACTCATCAGCAAGTACTGCAGTGACTCCATTGACACTGGCTGATACATTCACTGTAGCTGGTACATGTTGCTGGACAATACAACTCAATTGAGTTAGGTTAGAGCTAGCAACAAGACAGGGATAGTCACCAAATAACACATACACATCAGGGAAGGAGGAACCAAGACAAGGCCAACAGTCTTTGCAATAACATGAAGCTGCTCCAGCAGGTATCACTGGTAATCCAGTACCAGATAACGTGACTGTATTACCACCACTGATACTGCCATAGTTAGGATAGGCTGAGTGCAGTATCAGTGAATAAGTGAAGGTTATATTGTCATCAATGTCAGCATAACCCATACCATCAATATGAACACTAATGGGACTGATACCGGCCACACTGGGACCAGGAATACACCTGATCAGACCAGAATCAAGACTTTGAACCATGCAAGGACTGTCGCCTATGGTAACCGTTACCTTGGCAACATCATCGCCAAAGTTATAACCATAAATGTTGATAGTGGACCCGTCCTGCCCTCCTGAGACTGGGGAGACACCAGTGACAAGAGGAGTGCTGTTAGTTGAAGTGAAAGTGAAAGAACAGTTAGTTGATCTACAGGAAGCAGGGATGCCATTGACAGATACCTCAACCTATTGAGAGGAAAGAATTAAATATAAATAAAGTACTTCTTTATAAAAGAGGCAACTTGCAACTAAGAACTGGTACTCAGAATAGAGCAGGTTTTTATTATTGGCAGCAAATAAGTTGCATAAAGATCATAATGCTGCTATAGCACCAAGTTACTTCATGTATAAAGGAATTAACTATATAGTACCTGTGGATTGAGTTCAGGTAGTCTCAGCATGTCTCCTCTTAGTGGTCTCATCCAGACACCACCATCAACACTCCACTCTACAGACACTTGAGCCACAACTCCCTCCAGTCTACTGCCATCAGTCACCATCAGAGGATGGTCTCCTGGTCTACTGGTCCATCTCACTGTCCATGAATATCCTGAACATACTCCAGTCCTGGATACAGTGAATCCTCCTTCATCAGGTAGACCAGACTCTAATACTGCCTCCATTTCTCCTCCAGTTAGTGTTGCTGATATGTTATAAACAGTTCTTCCTTCAAATGAGAGGTCAAATGATCCCCCCACTGGTGGAGAACCAGCTAATAGTCTTGATACTTTAGCAGTGTAGCTAGGAGAAGTACTGATCAATGGCATACCATATCCACAGTGGTGTGCTGTGTATTCTACAGTGAATTGTCTGTATGGTATGAGACAGGTTAGTGGGTCAGTGTAGTCAGTACAGTATAGAGTGGAGGGAACTGGATCTATTGATGTTGTTTCTACAGAACTAATGAATATTCCATTGGGCCTTACTGCTGGTACTGTCTGTTGAACTGTATTAGTAGAGAGAGAGAGAGAGAGCAGAAAGATCATTAATGTAATACAAATAGTTTCTCATACCAGAAGTTTTTGCTGTTGTAATGCTAAACTCATCAATCCAGAAGTCAGGATAGGTCCCACTATTGAACCTCACATGAGTCAGATTATAAAGACCACTAGGTGAGCCGAACCTCTCATGAATGACTGGGTATACATCAACACACATGTAGTTCCATCTGCTCAGGTCCTCAGAGAGTGTGACTGGGAAGTTAAAGGTTTGAAAGGAGGTAGTCCTGACAGTGAGTCTTAGTCTTGAGTTAGGCAATGGACCATAATGAGCAAAACAAACCTACATTGTAAATAATAACAACAACATTGTAAATAATAACAACAACATTGTAAATAATAACAACAACATTGTAAATAATAACAACAACATTGTAAATAATAACAACAACATTGTAAATAATAATAATGTATAATATTATGAAATAAATACATAATTTTATTATGAAAAAAACCTAATAAATAATAAATTAATAATAATACACGTGGACTTACATATCTCAGTCCAAAAGGTGATATGGTGGCTGGTTCATTAACAGTGTTGGTCCTCTCATCTCTGGATCTGTCATACCTCCAGAGTACTGAAGGGTTCTTAATACTGTACCGCCCACAGTAAGGCTCTACGCTGGAGTCCAGAGTACCATAATAACTGTAACGGTATATAGAGACGTCATAAGAGTCTTTGAAATGAATCACCCCTGGGCTGGAAATACTGCACTTTGTGGAGAAGAGATCAGTGATACTATTAGATATCATTGAGCTAGTTGAATTAACAGAGAGAGCTTGAGTGGATCTAGTACCAAAGGAGAGACTGAAGTGCTCTGGTAGTTGAAGACCTTGTTCTGTATCGCTAGTAGAATTGACATTAGATGATACTTCAATTGGTCCTGGTACTACTGGCTGAGTGGAGTGGAATATAACGAATAATTCTAAAATATCATCTGCTGATCGATTACTGATAACACTGACACTGCCGATATTTTGAATTGATTCAAGTGAATTCAACGCATTATTGATCACTGTGTCATTATCAGCTGATGATAGAGGAGGTGTGGTTTGGCCGTCAAATGTTAGATTGAAACTGATTGGTTGATCAGGATCCAAATCAATAATGAGAGACTGTATTCTGGGAGCCGCCATTAGACTCAACATCTAATACAAGATACTCATTAAACTTTAGCTCCACCCCTTACATTAGCCCTGCCCCCTGCCCCACCCCTTACTTGTGTCTCATGTACTACAGTGGATGTTGTTCTTATAACTTGTTCTTCATAGTCAATATCAGCAACATCTTCAGTCCAGGACAGGTTGTGTATCTTAGCCCCAATACCAAACCTCCATGGACCATACCCTTGTAGCTGGACACCCTCCATATAATAAGCCTCACCTGTACAAAGACAATACATGTACATGTACAATCAGTAATGGCTCAGTACACATACCAGCTCTGAGGTAGATTGGTTTGGATATTTGAGTATCAATTTGATTCCAGCTGGTAGTATGGCCCAGTATATAAGCCACCAGTTCCTTGTGATCTCTTGATGCATTAGGACTGAGATACAGGCGAGCTCCATCATCAGAATTAACATTTAAAGTATAATAGCTGTCAATGGGGGGGACAAAGAACCCTGTGTATCGCTGGTTGATAAGATACAATTCACCAAACTCAGGTGTGTAAGTATAACTGTCACGATAGAGTCTCTCTTGAATGGACCAATCTATCAGTGTAAGGATAGCCATAGGGTCTAGCCT